AGGTGGGAGAGGGACAATAACCTATCCTCCCAATTATGCCCTACTCTCCTTCCTTTCTTCTCACCCTAGAAGGTGGGAGAGAGACAATAACCTATTCTCCCAATTATGCCCCACTCTCCTTCCTTTCTTCTCACTCTGGGAGGTGAGAGAGGGACAAGAACTTATCCTTCCAATAATGCCCCACTCTCCCTCCTTTCTTCCCACTCTGAGAGGTGGGAGAGGGACAAGAACTTATCTCTCTCAACTGCCAATAGAGTGGCTGCCAGCGCAATATGAATGATTGGTAAAACCCTCCCATATGTGTTTTCCCTGTCTCAGAGCTCTTTCCGGTCGCTACAACACCCTTAACATCAATCCTCAAACCACATCCTCCTTCCCCATAGCCCCTCGAGTCTTAACCGACCAAGACTGCCCTGTGTCGGAGTGCTCCTCAACGCGCAGAACGTCGCTGTTTGTGCGTAGGTAGGCAGCGGGCAGGAATAGGTCCCTAGAGGAAGCCACGAGAAAAAATAAGTGGGGGATGCGCGCTACGCTATATATCCCTCCGCGTCTCTTGGGAACCCTCCCATAGTTAGAGTTAGTTTTCTTTACTCTTGGCTCCACAGATGATAAGTTATGTGTGGCGGGGGGGGGGGGGGGTGGATGTGAGCAGGAAGCTTGGATGTGGGTGTGTATAGATCTCGTGTTTACGTTATAGAAACTTAAAGATTAAAAGGTAAAGTTAAAAACCTTTGTTCATGACGGGAGACAATTGCAATTTGTGATACTGTGCCCGGAAAGTGAGCCTCGGCCTGGAGGGATTAGAGGGGGGAGGTTATCGATGTACAAAGACGATCCAAGTCCCATGGCATGAATAAGAGCCGGAGCAAGCATTCAGATATCATCGACGGTAGAGAACTCTGCGGGGTTACCGAAACTCGGTCACAATTCCCCACCCTCCAGAACCTCAAATCGGAAGGCTTAAGGCATTGATCGAAACCAGCAACTCTTTGTCGACAATTCTGAATTCCTCAACCGTGGTATCCACCGTATATCACTCGATCCAATGGCCCGTTTGGGCCGGCAGCGCAGCCGACTCGTGGCCTAAATCGGACAAACCCGGAAGGATTCATGCTAACCCATTACGTTACGTTACGGGAATCTCCAACTAAGCAAAATTACAAAACAGAGACAGACAAAGCATTTTATAGCTCCACCGATTGCCCCCGAACCTAGTCCTACCCTTCCATCCGCTCTATTGGTCTACTGCAAATTCTTGTAAAACTCATTATAGGCATTTTCAATATCGAATAGCATCTACTGGCAGTCAGCAAACCAAGCCCCCTCAGGCTCCCGAGGGATCACAACACACCTGCCTCCCCTGCGCCTCTGTAATCTCATCACCAGCTCCCATCTGATTCAGTATAATCAGCCACTGCACAATCGACTGCCTCCCTTCAAATTCCTTTGCTCCAGCAACATTATTCACGGCGGTGATCACATCACTGAGTAACGGGTGCAACTGGTCCTTCGCGGTGTAATGCAGACGAAGCGCGTCCATGAATGTGATAAAGTTCTGAGTAGCTTCCGCTGCTGCCCGAGCAGAGATTGCGGATGAAGTTGTAGGGGCATGCTCGAATGTCGCTGGGACGCCAATTTTCAGACGCTCGGTTGCGGAGGGGTATGAGAGCTATCACAGTTAGCAGGAGAGAGGGGATAGTAGGGAGAGGAGGAGAAAAACGTGATGGGCAGATTTAAACGTCTCCAGATCTTTGAATGCGGAGGCGACGTCTGGGTTTTTGAGGATCGTCTTGTACTGTCCGAGGAGTCTGAGACATGTCGGAGTATAACTGAACCCGAAGCGTCGGCATTAGTGCCCCTCCATACAAGTACACAGCTTCAATACTCCCGGGAGATAGGGGGTGGCTAACGTCTCCTGGCTGATACTATCTTTGATATAAGCCTTTTCCAGAAAGTCCAGCGTAACGATGATACTATAGATCTCGGCGAGCGATTCGTTCAGCTCCCGTTGCTGTACCGTTGTCGAAAGCTTGACCTCCTCATCCAGGGATATGCTCGTCGACAGGGAATGCGGTGAGGGGGTATAGGAGTATGGCGAAGGGGCGTACGGCTGATACTTTGGTGCACTCATTGGAGGAGCTCTTGAGGGGGAGGTGTTGCTTTGGATTGCCCAGCTCTGATGAAACTTCCAGAGGCTCAAGCTTAGTCAACCAATTACCGTACGAGTAATCGGTTAGCGATCTCCAGTTCCAGGATGCTCGGTTGGACGCGGCGACGGTGGGGCACGTGGGGAAGACGGCGCTTCCAAATTATTACTGAGCTTCGTTGAGGATGCTTAAAAGCTTCTTCCTCTCCCCTCCCCAGCACCATGCTATCACCACTATCCGCTCTCTTACTATCCATACGAAATTCCAAGAGATAAACAAATTCGCTTCAAAACTCTTTAATTATCTCCTCCAGCTAAACTGCCCAAATGCTCCCCCTCGAGTACGGAAACACAGCCCACCTCCTCCCAAACACCTACAAACAAACAATCGCCTCCTGGCTAACAGAAGACACGCCAGCCTTCGACTATGGCGGCTTTGTGGTCGGTGAGGATCCCAAGACAGCGACTCTCTTCGCCAAATCTCCGGGGGTTCTCGCTGGAGTGCCATTCTTCGATGAAGTCTTTGCCCAGCTAGGGTGCACGTACTCCTTCCCCTTCCTTTCCCCTGCCAATTTCCCTTACTGGCCAAATGGAGATCTGACCATACCCGACAATTAGTGTGGAGTGGCACGCCCAAGAAGGTGCCTACCTCTCCGCCACCAAACCGATCGCGGTAGCCACTGTAAGGGGCCCCTCTCGAAATCTGCTCCTGGGCGAACGCGTAGCGCTAAATACGTTGGCACGGTGCTCCGGAATTGCTACTAAATCCCGCCGGTTACTAGAGCTCGTGCGGAGGGCTGGGTATTCGGGAATTCTGGCAGGCACAAGAAAGACGACCCCAGGGTTCCGGCTCGTGGAGAAGTATGGAATGTTGGTCGGGGGTGCGGACCAACACAGGTACGACCTTAGCAGCATGATCATGCTGAAGGATAATCATGTCTGGTCAAAGGGGTCCATCACTAAAGCCGTCCATGCGGCAAAATCCGTAGGGGGCTTTGCAATAAAGGTAGAGGTAGAAGTGCAATGTGAGGAGGAGGCAGACGAGGCCATTGCCGCGGGCGCGGACATCGTCATGTTGGACAACTTCACAGGAGATGGGTTGAAGGTTGCAGCGGCGAGTTTGAAAAAAAGATGGCGGGAGAAAGGACGGCAAGTGTTGCTTGAGTGTTCGGGAGGGCTGAAGGAGGATAATGTTGAGGAGTATCTGTGCGATGGTTCGTTTTTGTCCGATCCTTGGTTGGAGGGGCTCGGGCGGGCAGAGGTTGCTAATGGGAATGTCAGATATCGATATTATCTCCACCAGCTCGATCCATCAGGTTTGTATTTCACGTGCTGTCATTCAGATAATTGGCTAACAAAGATTGTATCTGCAGAGCACCCAACACGTGGATTTTTCACTCAAGATCGACCACTAATGCACGTTGTATCGAGATCTGTACTTTTACAAGCGGAATATAGAGCGTTCGGAGAGAAGAAACAAGAAATTTAGCATTACGGTATTATGCAATACAAGCTATGCATGGCCTAGCTAGAGATTCTCCCTATATCCACGTTGAATACGGTAAAAAAAGGGAAAAGCCCAAAATCCCCTTCAAACCGCCCGGATATAAAGGCAAAACAAGAGAGAGAAAAACGGAAAGCGAAAGGAAATATGGGTATCGTATCAATTGCAACCTACTTCTTTTTTTCCCACGGAAAAAAGAAAAAAAAGAAAAAAAAACTCCACCAATTTTACCTACCTACCCCTTCCCCTATCTACAAGAATGCCGCATGAGAAAGAAAAGGAAAAAGGAGAAGAAAAGAAGAAAAGGAAAAGGAAATTCACAAATGCATTTATCGTAGACCTTCGTGAAATGAGGGCACCTCCACCGTCCATTGCACAGATCCCCCTTTTGTCGGGCAGCCAACCGGAACCCCGTGATATCAAATCCAGAAGCAGGAATGCATTAAAGGGTTCTCGCAAGAATAAAGTGGAAAAGGATCAACAAATGGCGCAACAGTTCCCCCACCTACCGGGTGGTGGGCGATTATCGTAAGTCAAGTGCGGAGCTTCTTGCTGTTTCTCGCCGCCCTGCTGTGCAGGACCGGAAGCAGGAGCAGCAGCGGAAGAGAACTTGCGGTAGGCAGCGGGGACCAAAGTGCCGTTGGCAACACCTTCCCTCGCGGCGACAACACGTCGCACGAGCACTATAATCCAATCCACCCGTCAGCCATCACCACCACCATTCCCCCCTCCCGGGAGCGAACAAACATACGGGCAAACGTCTCCTCAATGTTAACCATATTCCTAGCACTCGTCTCCATAAACCCGCACTCATGACCCCTCGCCCAGGCCAGTCCCTCCTGACTAGAGACCTGTCTGCTCTCGGCCAAATCGCACTTGTTCCCCGCGACGATCTTGACAACGGGTACACTCCGCCCCTCCTCCTCCATCTCGACCAAGTCGTGGAAGTAATCCAGCGCCAACAAGCTATCGTGATTGGTGATGTCGTACACTAGCAGGTAGGCGTCGGCCGCGAGGTTGTGCGAGGCCCAGAGGCCGCGGTACTCCTCCTGTCCGGCAGTGTCGGTGAGATGCAGGGAGTACTCGCGGCCGTCGACGGTGCGGGTTACGCTGTAGGAGTCTTGCACAGTCGGGTCATACTCGTGCGTCCATTTACTACGGACCAGGCGGAGGGAGATGGAAGATTTACCTGTGTTTTTTCACCGTTTGCCTGTTAGTAAGTGCCCGACGGAATGATCGCGATGTGTAGGGTTCGGGAACGGTACCAGTCCCACCGTCGCCGCAGACAGTGATGGATATCGTTTCCATCATTCACCCTCTTCTACTTCTTCCTCTTCTTCCTCTACTTCTTCTTCCCCTTCCAAACAATCGAGTCTAGAGTAATATGGATAAAAACAGAAACAAAAAAATCCCAGTTCGCCTCTTCCCTCACGCAAATATGAGCACCCGGTTCAAGCGATATGAAATGGCAGCCGGAAAAGGGTTATGTCGAGTGAAAAGGAAAAAAGAGATGACCGACCGATCTACCAGTCCAATTCGGTTACGGCAGCGCACCCTTACCCACAAGCGCGTCTCAGGGTCCTCCCTCCGTTCTGGAAGGGAGAAGGGAGGAGGGCAGACGTTGAAAAAGGAAGGAAAGAGGTAAGAAAAAGCCAAAGAAAAAAAAATCCCCCATCCAAACCCACTGTACCTTACGGTAAGCCTACTCGAGTAACCTGACATTCCCCCCGCCCCTGTCTCGCTTGCAACCGAGTCAATGCGAAACATGTGCAATCTCCCCGTTATCTGCTGCACAGTACAGGTACTAAGCGGCAGCACACAACTCGAATGACGGGATGGAGACGAGGACGGGCGCTGCTACTTTCGGCCATGCGTCATTGCGCGATAACGAGCGATTCCGGTACGATTGTCAATCACTGTTTCGCTGAATTACAAATGGCAACGCCAGCGTGATATCGTGTGATTTATCGAGTGACCTCCCATGATGGGCTCTGTGTGTTTAGGGGGTTTGCGGTTTGTACCAGTACCGGTGCTGTACGATGCGGTAGATTCGAAAGGGTAGAAACTGGATGGAATACAATAGCTACCGAATGTGCGGAGCGGGTATCATATCATGCTCGAAGATGGTGTGTGCGTTTGTGTGCGTGCATACAATCCTGTCTGGAACGGTAAGTAAAAAAGTTCAGATAATGACGTTAGTATGCATGATCCGGCAGACAGATGGACAGGGTGAAATAAAGTACGGACCATCATCATCATCATCATCATACCTTAAGGTCACTCCGCACACAACGCCATATCCTCCTCCACCTCCTCTCCTCTTTACCCACCCTATGGCGACCACCACGCACGCACGCAACAACCACAGCAACCCATTCCACTTATTCCTTCCCACCACCTTCAAGGCATTAAATTACCTACCTGGTAACCTCCCTCCCCTCTCCTCCCCTTCCTCTCTCCTCGAATACGGGGCATGATGAATGAGCAAAAATGTGAATACTGACCCGTCACCAAAAAGGCGGACACAATCCTGTCCATTCCGGTTCCACCGTTTGTGTGTATATCATACCTGCCGTCACCATTCACCGGCAGTTCGGGCACTTTCCACTTTCTTTCATCCCTGACCTGACCTGACCTGACCCAACCTGACCGAACAACCCCGGACGAAGAAAGAAAGAAAGGGTAAAAAAAAAAAGGAGGGGAATTTTTCTTTTCTTCATGCGTGGAATCACATGGGGTGGTACAGGAATTAATTTTACCCCTCTTCTGGAAAATGTGTTTATTGTGGTATCATGACTGGCAGCTGGCAGGCAGACAGACTCAATAGTCTATTGTACCGGTACCGGTATGATACTAGCACATTGCTTGTTCCCAAGGATTCTATCCCATTGTTAAATGCCGGTACAGTACGGCACGGTATTGTGTCGTTGCGCTACCCGTGTCCTATGTACTGTACTCGTACAAGCAAGTTATGAATGTGATATTACACGACCGGGAATAAGGGAAGGGGGGTACTTGTACTCGTACTAATACTAGTACAGTACGAGTACTGTAATAATGGTATTATATCACCTCCGTTCCTTCCTTCCTTCCTTCCTTCCACGTTTCATTCCTTCCCCCCCTCTCACCTCGCGTTACTCTATTCGAGTACCGGTAACCTTTACAAGTACTCGTACCAGTTAGTAGTAAAGAAGAACCAACCCCCTTCACCCCCCCCACCCCCCCCATTGGATGGATTCCGAAGGGTTTTTAATAAGAGTTGTGGGAGTTATCGGTGTCATAACTGTAGGCTAGACTGGTACAGTACTGTATAGTGCGGGTATTGGCCCTTCTTGGATGGGAAGGGGATATAATATATTGTGTGTACTTTTATAGTACTGTACAGCGCAGATATCGTACGGTCCGTTCCGGCGCCGCAAGAATTGGGGAGTCTTTGCGGTTTTGATTGGTCGAGATTTGCTTTGTGGTGTCCTCTTTTTTTTTCTTCTTTCTCTCTGTGCGGGTACGCGCGGTGCGAGAATCTTGCGGCGACGCTGGAATTGATAGCATGGTACTCGAGTACTGTATGTATGATATGGTACCGTAGACCTTGTTGTGCTGGATTTTGCACTGTAGTCTACTGTACGAGTGCCGTAGAGTAATGCACACTCTGGCACCAACATGGCCTCCAGCACTACCACACAGTTCCTACTACTCGCTTGGACTACCTGTACTGCACGGTACTCGTACGGTACTGTAGTACAGCCTTGTCTCCTTTTAACCTCGTCGGTTGGCTTCACTTGACATCACGTCGCTACTTGACCCCAAACGACGCAGTACGAATACTGTAAATCCAAAAAAAGGTATCATAAATGAGTAAAATAGAGTAGAACAAGACGGGACAAACTACAAGAAATAATCCATCCATCCCCAATCGACCCCGGCAAGAGTAAATAAAACCCAACTTTTCTACCAAAACGACCGTGGAAAAAGGAAAAGGGGACAGAAAAAAAGGGGAAAAAGACACCGAACAAAATAAAACACCGCGAACCGAAAAAAGCGAATGGTATGATATATAAAAGTATGATATTTCCGAGATCGCCTGGTGGGAAAACCAATCCGGTGGACAAAAGAAAACCCGAGCAAGCATCATAAAAGAAAACCCCGAGACGAAAAACCCAAACCCCATGCAGCGATCGTTTAGACGGATAGAGTCGAGAATACGGTGGAATGAAAGGAAGAAATGGGGGGCACATAATGGAAAGGAAGTATGAATGAGGATGAGAACGAAGACAAAAATGGTAATTTTGGTCGAGCTTAACGCCGGAAATATCGGTTTTCTCCTTTCTTCTCGCCTCTTTCCGTCTTACCCTGGGTGAAGGGGCAAAGGGAGGGAGAGAGGTGGGTGCCTGGAGGTGATGGGGGACGAAAGCTTTGGTATTTTCCGAGTGAGAGCACGTCAACTGGTTGAATGGACCCATGGGGAGCAGTTGATGGCGAGAAGGTGGGGGAAATTGGGATGGATTGGGTAAGACGAAAAACAGAGAAAGTAAAGATCCGTAATGCATTATAGGAGATAATGAATAAAACAGGTGAAACAGGAAATAATCGAAAAGGGAAATGGTGAGAAATTAGGGAAAAAACAAGCGAAAACAAGCGAATTTTCATACAAAACCCCATTACTAACTCTCGACAATTGGGAGTAGAGTACAATCAGGACAAGGTAATGTCGAAACTAACAGATGGAATTGGGAGAGGGGTGGTTGTAATGGAATATAAACACAAGTAGTGGCAAGGGGGACGGGACGGTTAAGAGGCCAAGAGAAAGGGCAAGTGGGCAGGGAAAAGAAAAGAAAAGAAAAGGTTGCCCATTTCACACAAACGTCTGTCATGACCCGTTGACCTTCATCTCTATCTCTCCATTCCCGTTGATGTGAGGTACTGAGGTAGGATGTGGCTGGAGCGTCGGCATGTTCCCGCTCATGCTTGCGCGCCTCAGTTGCTGATGCACAGGCGATATCGGTATCGGTGTCATTCCTGCAGTCTTTGCCGAGGACAAATGAGTGGAGTCTCCCATAGAGTGGGTGGTGATTGGCGATGATTGGGATTGTGTAGGGCTTGTGTTGCCCTTGTCTGAATTTGAGGTTGCAGTTCGTGGGGATACTCGTCCAATCTTATTTTCCCACGGTTAGCGCATCACCATCGACCCAATAGGGGTCAAACGTAGCACGTGAGTACTGCATAAGGCTGCCCTTTGTGGGAGAGAGCTTACCAATTTGGCGTACCGCAGTCCACAGCTGTTGCACAGGTCCCTCTTCCCACTCGGCCCTCTCCTCCATTCCGGGGTAACTCGAGTGTGGCAGTTGGCGCAATCCTTCTCGAGTTGGTCCACCCCCTTTCTCCTCTTTCTCTTCTTGCGTAAGGCCACGAGGCTGCTCAGTTCCTCCACTAGTCTCTTATTCGTCCTTTGCAGTTGTCTGAGCTCAAACTGCCAACTCGTTGAACGGGTCGTTTTGAGTTCCTCAAACAAGTTCTCATCTGCCGTACTTTCCGCACTGTTTTCGCGGGAATCAGGTGGCGTCTTATCAACCCCATTTGTCATATGGGCAGCTTGATTGGGCGAGTTGTTGCTCCACGAGGGCGTGGATGCTGCAGAACTCAGCGCATCAGATTGGTGATTCTTTGTCGGGCTGCCAGCCGAGGCTCGGGTATGTTTCAGCAGCCGCGTCTGCGCAACGAGAAAAGTGGGTTTCTGGCTTTCCGTGCCATCGCCCGGAAACAAGGTCGTGAGGGCCTGTAAAAATTGTCCCCGCTTATTTTGAATCTCGTGCTTAACGGTCGCCTTTGTTCCATTCCTTGCATTCTCCAGTGCCCTTCCGAGTTCATTCTTTGAATCGGGCCTCATGAGTGCTTGAACGCTTGTGCCTGTCAACTCCTCACTGTCCCGGTCAAGCAATGTCTTGGCATTAGACGAGACGAAAAGGAACATCCCGCTGGTTGACATTTTTGTCCAAAGCTCATTGTCTCCAATTCCTCCGGTGACCTGAACCTCCTTCCAACCGAGCCTGTAGACTGGCCGTTCCCTTCCAACCAAGATGATGCATTTTCTGCCCTTTCCCTGCTCTGTGTGTAGACTACCATGGCTCTCAAACCACGTATACCCGCTGAACTTTCGTCGAATCCGGAACACCACATTGACCGAAGTGCTCGAAGATGTATCCTTCAAGTCTCTTGTCACGGGTACAATGTCGCTGGGGTGACAGACAGCGGAGAGGCTAGTTCCGACAAGTTCCTGGGGTTCATACTCCAAAACCTTTCTTATGCTTGGGGAACAGTACAGGAAGAGGCCCTTCAGCGACAGAACATGCACCACATCGTCGGTATTCTCCAGGAGAACTTTGTCGAGTATCCTCTTGGAATGGAACTCATCCCCGCTGCCGAATGAACTCAGTACATGAGAAACATCGTCCCTAGCAACCGTCAGTCCTGACCTCGCCGGGTCCATGACCAATGCCGCGGCAGCGGCTGGAACGTAGGTTGGTAATTGGCTGTATTGGTAGTTGATCGCGAACGATCCGTCTGATCCTACTCAGTCAGCTCCGTAAATCGCCAAATCCATTGATTGGGAGTGGGGGGGGAACTGGCTTCGTACCTTTGTTTCGGTTGACCATTGCTCCGGGCTGCTCAACCAAGTCTACCTGGAAGCCAACGAAATAAACAACCTCCGGACTATCCCATGTGATGGGGATCATGGTCAAAAGATTGGTGAATGGCTGCCCTCCTTTGCGGTAGTTGATGAGCGATGTTTGAGCCTCCTTTTTTGCCTGGATCTGGTTCTTGAGGTAGTAAACGGCATCATCGTCGACGTACTTCCTCTTCACGCCCGGGACAATCTTTGCATCGGGGGCTTGGAGGAATCGACAATTTCGACCCAGAATCTCGTGCTTTGTGTAGCCAGTCAAACGTTCGAATGTGGCACTGCAGTACACGATTGGGTTGTCGAATTTCCGTGCATCTGTCACGACGAAGGAGCAAGACAGGTCTACGGCTCCGATGTTGATTTGCGGATTAGGTCTATTTGCCACCCTATACTGTATTCGTGATGGTACTTGTATTAGCGACAACGGCAGGCCCAGGGGAGGAGGCTCCATCAAAAATAGGATGAAGCAGTCTCATGAAAGAAGACATGAATAAGTTCAAGCTAACCAAGATTCCCAGCATATCGAAACCCGTAGAAGAGTATGTGGTCTCTGTGAAGTGCTTACTGACGTCCATCGGGGAGTACTGTGACGAAGGTGTCATCCCTGACAATCGAAAATGTTAGAGTTTCTACGTTGGAGATCGAGGCTAAGCAAGTATATATAAAGACCCACCTCCCATCTGGTCCATAAGGGATTGATCCATCCCCGGGTTTGACATTTGGGCCATGTGCATTTGGGCCATGGGAGCAGATGTTATGGAGTCGACCGACATCCGGTGGCCGTGAGAACCGGGGCCCAGAGGGGAGCCAGGCATTTGTGGGCCTACTGGACTTTGGGGTACTGAGACCGCCATGGAATTGGTCACGGGACTAGAGTGAGATGTTCCCGATAGCACTTGTGGATCGGCATACATCGATATTGAAGATTGGATTTCGGGACCCGAGATATTCCCCACCCCCATCATTCGCACAGAACCCAGTTCGGGGGCGGAGGCATCCATTTCAGAGAAGGATTCAATTGTGGTCGGTAACCGCCCCATTTCATTACCCATCTGGCCCATGTCACCACCACTGAAGGCTCCGGGACTCACCATCCGCGAGAAGGTTTCAGCATCCGAGTCGTCAACCCCGATAAAGTCCAGGTTAAAACCATTAGCTAGGGACCTCCGCCTTAACTCGCGTGCGTTCTCAGCTACAATCTCATCCATTCCCACGGCGCCAACCATGCCGGGCGTTGACGCCCGTCGACCACCCACTCCAGGCCTGTCAACAGCGCTATGACCATGTGGACTGTGACCGTTGACCCCCCGGGCACTTGCATTCCTTCCGGTGGGCAGGTTCGAGAAAGCATTAGTCGCGGCCAGATAGCGATCGTACTCATTTCCATCCAGTTCCATCATGATTGAGATCAAACCCTCGATCTCCAGAGATCGGAGATGGGAAGGGAAAGGGAAGGAAGGAGTGTGTGCGTGTGTGCGTGTGTGTGTGCGGGAAGTGCGAGCGGGAGTGAGCACTCGTCACACCCTTGAGGTGAAGGCTGACGATAGAGAGAAACCTAACACACGAGGGAGCGGCAGTGTAGTGTGGAGATCGGGGAGCGGGCCCAGGGTGGTGCAAAGCAGCAAGGAGCGAGCCTCAATTTGAAGGTCGGAAGGGGAAGGGGGTTGGGTCGAAGGGTTGCTTTCCTTTGGTCCGCTATTACTGGGGGGAGTGGGGCCGAGGAGGATGCGTATCTCGCGGGCCACAGTTATTTTTTTATAAGAATTTAATAAAATAAAATAAAATAAGGCAAGAATACCGATAAGAGTTGAATAGAACAGAATAAATAAATGAAAATCAAAAAGAATTTAAGTGAATTCGGGGGAAGCTATTTCGGCGGGGAGGGGGGGGGAAGAGGAAGGTCCTTTGAGATCAGTCAAGGACAAGCGAGGGGCGGGTATGGTGGAGTTTAGGTGTATCGAGATTCGAGGTGTGTGAATAAACCTTCCTGGTGGCAGGAGAAGAAAATTGGGCGAGCAGTCTGACTTGGGACCCAGGGAGAGGGGAGGAGCGAGAAGGTAACAACAGCGAGAAGCGGGCGGGGGTGGGGTGGGGATCCGTTGTCCAGTATGACAGCCACGCGGAGACGTGGTGGGCACGGGCAGTTGTGAGTGAGCGGGTGAAATAACTGGTTTAGTGTGAGTGAGCGTATGGATATATCTGTGTGTGTGCGAGTGTGTGTGTGCAGTTGGAGCAGCTCGCTCTCTGTCTTTTGTTCTGTTTTTTCCTTCTCGGTTTTTCTTTTCTTTTTCTCTCACCTCTACCTTCCTGTCCCTGTTTTGGAGTCCTTGATATGTATTTGAAGGAGCGTGGGTTCCTGGTACGGGTACGAGGTAGGCAGGTATTGTACTCGCACGGCAGGCGTACCTGTTTTCTAGCCCTCTGTTTGGGGTGAGATATTGTCGAGGTTGCTACGGCACTCGCAGACTCGAAGGAAACACTGGATGGAGGGGCGTTGCTGGCCGGCTGCATATACGGACAGATAGGGTGCTGGCTGGCTGGTTGTCTCCTATGGGCCGGGCCACAATGGATAGGCTATGTCTCGCTGTCCTGTCTGGTTGTCCCGTAACACACTGGGAAAAGTAAGCTGGCAGTAGCGGTTCCTTTCTGTCCCAGATCGATCGAAGGTGAGCCGGAGGGTGGGGGGGGTATGGGAAAATAAGGAAAAAAAATATATAGGCAGGAGGGGAGGTGGTAGGTTTCCTTCCTTTCCACGGGGCAGGGTAAGGACCATCTATCTACCAACCACAGGGCAGACGGGGGGGGAGGTGGGAACAGGATGGATGGCAGGAGAGGGAGGGAGGGAAGATTTCGAGATGCACAATTGTACTCGAGTAATAGGTGGGGGGGTAAAGGATACGGCAAGTACAAGTAGAGGTGACAAGTATCATATCATGTCGCTAACCTTACTCCTTGCTTTCACACTGGTGCCGCTTGAAAGGGCTCGTTAGTCGACTGCAGTCCTCGGGTGCAACGCCTTTCGCTGCTTTGCTGTGCGGTGTCGGTTGTGGCCGCCCGCCCGCTCGGAGTGCGGCCTTATTGGGCGGTTTGGGAACACAACCGGGTGGGCGAAATATGGGATGCCAGGGTTTTACCTGTCTCTACCTCGATGGGGGGAAGTTCAAGTAGGCAATCGAACCGATTAGGAACAGAGCCCGGATATTGGATATCCGGCGTCTGTTTGGCGAACGATGGTCAAGGTGGGAATCGTGATCGTAGAGAGGATCGAATACTGGTCATGGGGATGGACAGCCATGGGGTGGAAGGTACCTGTGCAGCGCCGGAAACTGAAAGGAGGAATCGATATATAAAGAGCTCTGCCGGAATCGCTGGCGGATGGCGAGAGTGGGAAGGGGAGGAACGCAAGCAGGAAGGAGGGGGAAAAAGGAAAAAAGGTGGGATGTCCATCCTCGAACCATATTCCGTACAGCACGACTGTGGGCATCGTGTGTTTCTGCAGGATTTTGTTTTTAAAACGTCCTTTCCCTTGAGCCTACTGGCCAGTCCTCCCAAACAGCAACTAATAATTTTCTTTACAAGAAGCGGGGAGCGTCATGGCGACAGAACTCTTAACGGTATGATGGCAGAAAATGGCGGCGGCAGCAACAACAAGGAGCGAGCAACAGTACCGGTGCCGTGACCCCGGAGAGGGTACTACGGTGCCGTGGCCACCTCCTCCTCGGCTCCTCCACTTCCCCGTCTCGCGGCCCACCACTGGGCTTAAGTGCACCGCACAGCAATAGCAGACGAGCACCACTCTTCACTGCCGCATAAGTTACAGAAAACTCCCTCCTCCTCTTGGATTTCCAGATTTCCTCAGTCAGACTCACTTGAACCACCACATCTTTCTCGCTCTCATTCCTGATTCCATGTGTGGCGGTCCCCCCGAAGCCTGAGAGTCCAGAGGGCCAATGCCGTGCGCAGGGGTGGTCAAGTGCATGCAGAGCTACATACAGCCCACAGCTCACATGCATCACCTCGATGGAGAAGACGATGATTTCCATCCTTCTCCTCACCCCCCCCCCTCTCTCTTGTCTATCTGCTCGACTCAACTCATACTCACTCTGTGTGATACTCCAACTCCTCGCTTCTCATTCCTGGCTCTTAATTCCTACTCCGTCGCCTCTTGGAACAGCACTACCGTATGATGATACTGAATCAATGAATGGTTTCGCCTCAACAACAACTTTTTCTCTCGCGCATATCCCTCACTCACCTCATTGACTTCGCTCGACTCATAGCAGCTCACCCGGTCCTCAGCCGTTGCCTATCTATTCCTTCGTCGTCATTCAATTCCCAATCCCCGTACCATCGCTTACACATCCATTCCCTTTCGAGAATTAATTATTATCGTACATTTCCCCCCCCCTCCTGTCTGTTCTCTTCCCTACTCGAGTCTCATCATACAGCATTTATTTTTTTCCCTTTCGCCTCCCGTCGCTTCGCTGGCCCCTCTCAACTACGACCCAGCAAATCCTATCATCAATCAACCTGCACATGACATGTAAGGCTATGCCCCACCACTGCACAGCGGAGCAGCAGACTTTTTTTCCCTTGATTCAACAAGACCATTCTTCCACTTCAAACCCCAGCCTGACCCGACGAATGAGAGGCACGTCTCACTGACATAAGCACCCAACTCGCAATTGGGATGCTCACATTTTTTTCTTTTTTCCCTCTTCTCACTCAAACGAACCACGCCCCTCAGCTGTTCGGGCTCCCACTCGGCACTTTCTAGAATATCCCAAAAGAAAACGTGATGGTTGGACGAATTTGGACAGTGACTCTCTGCATTGGTTCACCACTCGTTGTTTATCCGGCGCTAAGTGACCCAGCCTGACCTTCGCTTTTCAGGACCGTGGACAGAAGGTTTCAGTTCTGGATAACAACGGTCCTCCAATGTGAGAGTTTGCTCTCGCTCTCCACGAGACGCGAGAGAGCGAAAAGGAAAAAAGTGACAGTACTCGAGTACAAGATCTTGGCTGTGTTCTCCTTCTTTTTTTTTCTTTTTCTTTCACTCTCGCCCTTTCTGCTCCATGATACTCGAAGACGGCTGGGTTGCTACCTGATAGATTAGACTATCGTATTGTACTTGTACTCGAGTACACTACGAGTAGGGTATCATACAGTAGATGCTGGGGATAGATTGACCTGAAAAAGTGACTGGGGATTACTACCGGATTAGACGATGGAAATTCACATCCACTCAATTACCTTTCGGAAGCTTATCTATGTATCACCGTCAACCATGAAAACACTGAACCGGTGATCAACGGAACGTAACAAAAAGCTCATCCTCCTCCCTCCTCCCCCCCCCCTCCCTCCTCCTCCGTCTCCTCCTCGTCACCGTCATGAGAATCGTCATCATAACAAACTTCATATGATAATTTTATTTTTATTTTTCCCCGTAACCGCCAGAAGCAGACCCTACCTTACCATATATAAAAGTACCGGTACCGGTACCGGTATTCTCCCCCCCCCCCCGCCTCGGAATAACTTACCTTCACCCATCCATCCGTGTGCCCAACAAGCCATGCGACCTGCACGCATGGTACTGTGGCTACGGTAAGTAGGCTGGCAACTTTACTCGCCGAGAGTGAAGTACCTTGCATCATACCGGTACTGTAGTGGTCCAATCTCACATTGAAGCAATCAATCAATCAAGCAATCAATCAAGCAGACCGGCAGAGGATGAAAAGAAAACAAAGAAAGGAAAGAAGGAGGGGAAAAAGAAAGGAAAGGAAAAGAAAAGAAAAGAAAACCCCCCCTCCCTCATATGATAATTCCTTTACTCGTATCATATCATACCAGCACGATGCCATTGGAACCAAATCAAAGAAGAAAAGTGAAGAAAAAAAGGAAAAACCGTGCGCCATAACTTAACCTATTTCAATCACGCTACCATAAAATCGCATACCAGTACGGTACCAGAGAAGCACAGAAAGAGCAGGTAGACAAAGGAGGAAAAAAACAAAAAAACGTCTCGAATACGATAGCCATGTGCAAAGCACAACAAAACCAAACTATGGGACACCCTTCTTTTCTTCTTTCCTTCCTTTCACCTGTTCTCGGTCGCTTACTGGGTTGCCGGTACTCTACCCTACGAGTACCGCGAGAAGCGTGACGAGATAGTGGTACCGTACTCGAGTATTGTACAGTACTAGCTCAGCTTAGCTTAGGCTGGGCAGGATGGTACAGTACTCGAGTATGGTAACGGCACTCGAGTGGTGCGGGGCAAACTTTTTTTTTTTTTCCTTTCCCTTCTCCTCTTTGAAAATGAGGGGGAAAAGAAAAGAGGGGCATGTCCAGTGATATCCACAAATGACCAGCCTTTTTTGTTTTCCTCCTCTTTTCTTCTGCCGTATGATACCGTGGCTCTGGCTCCTTGTTGTAGGGTACTTGTATGGAAGGGGGAAAAGGAGAATACCGTAGTTGAGTCTGGTTTTGGTCTTGTCTGACTAGAGAGGTTCATCATATGATGTGATACTAGTACTGGTATTATGATTGATTGATCTACTCGAGTACGGGTACTTTCTCTACAGCATCCTTTCTTGCTTGGTTTGGTTTGGGTTGTTGGGCTGGGCCCTTGTAGAGTACTTTACTTGTATGATACCGGTACGCGGTACTTGATGTATCCTCGTACCGGTATTTGGTTTGATAATGGGGTGGTTGTGGTAATTCCGCAGGCTAAACTTGAGGAGAGGATGATCGACCCAGCACGGCACCGCTAAGTTTACGGAGAAAGGGTGGATATTAGCCCGGGAATCTTGGATCTTTTGGCGGATCGGTGTTAATATCGGGAGTATCGGTAGTGTTTGTATCATGGCCGCCGTTGCCAGTAAGGTACCGTATTCAGTACAGATACTGGACCATGGGGGCAAGGAGCTGCAGGCAGTCTCTTCCGTTTCCCTTCTGGTTCTAGTTTTTTATTCCTATTTATACAATTGCACTTATACCGAAGCTGTGAATGCTCCGATTGCCATGCGGCTGTACTGTACTGTACTGCTTATGCTGCTATCGGAGTTTAGTTCTCGAGGACGACGTGCTCCTCGATAGTGCTAATTAATCGGTCAACTGTATCTTTACTTGTGGAAGCGCTCACAACGGCTCTGAAAAAATCGCCGTGAATTGGATGGGGGGAGTAGTCTGGAGTGATTAGCTTCAGCGGGCAGTGTGGGGATAGTGGGGAAGGAGAGCTAAGCGGAATTACCAATCATGAATCCCTTCGGGATGAGTTTCGCTGCGATGGCTCGGGTCGTGGCGGTATTTCTGATCAGACGAGGTCTTAGCTTGTGCACCGTAACTTATCTACCCTTCATTTCCATTTCCATTTCTCTTTGGAATAATGTGCAATAATCCGGAATTCTGGATATGGTAGATGAGGGATATATGAATGGGATGAGGTACTTTCTAGCGTTGGCCGAGAGCACTCCTTCGGGAGTGTAGAAAAAGCATCTGGCATAACGCACGGGATCGGATTAGCTAGCCGGTCTGAACCCGTCTTAGAGCTGCAGTACCAGAGGTTAGGTAATTTGGGACGAAAATAGGAGGACAGACACTTGGAGACATGGTGGCGGGTTGGAGGAGAGAAGGTGGAAGTTTGTGTTTTGCGACAGCTTGGCGGTGAAGTAGGATGCCGTTTCGAAGGCAAGGTTTATTCTTTCTGCATGTGGATGGAGTGTCTGTGTGAGCTTGATTGGTGCAGTATATGGTGGTTATCGTAAGTGGGAGGTGAGAGGGGGCATCGGGAAGGAAGGAAAGGACGGGTGGGGGATAATATTGCCTTCATAGCCCTCCTTCCCATAGTATATCCAACCCAACGCCATCTTTAGTGAATCCGCGCGTCTCCCGCATCCCATCGTCATCTGGGCCATATCAAACACTTCCTCCCCATCTTCGTCTCCATGGAACAAACTATCATTCCCCAATCGCCCGCCCCCCCCCGATCACCTATATCAGCCCTATCATCCTCGTTCACTCAGTGAACAACTCAACTGATCAATCGCAACACGGATTGGAGGGAACGCACTATCCCGCCTTCAAACTCGTGGCCTTCGGAAACCTTCTCGTATCACTCGTTATCAAGAAACTGCACGTCATGGGGACTCCAAGCATTTTATGCGGATTAACAGTCACACTATCGGCCCTTTGTGCCCCTTTAAGCTTGTAACGGTGTTTATCGGAGAAGGCGACTGACCCACCCCACGACCCGTCGACGTGCATCCATAGGTTGTATCTCTGGCAGACATCCGCAATGGCATCGAATGGGTCATATGAGCCCATGACAGTCGTGCCCGCACCCGCGTTGACGTAGAAGGGGGTGTAGCCTTCTTGTTTGGATTTTTGCACAGCGGATTCTAATTCTACATGACCAGTGAGCTCAAATTGACCCTCCAACTAACTAGCGAATGGTAGCGGTAGGGTTGGAGGGATGATATATACCAGGAACAATCATCCGCCCCTCCTCGCTGACCGGGATACTCCGCACGGCGGTACTCCCAAGACCGAGTAATATCGCAGCTTTCTCGACAGAGTAGTGGCCGTGCTCACTGGTAAACACTACAAACTTATATCCGGTGTTTCCGGAGACTTTGGTCTCAGGGAAGAGGGTATTCTTTGCTATTATCATGGAAGTGGAATTGGATGCTGATCCGCCTGGGAATGTTAAACCTCCGGCGTGTCTAGAGGTAAACCCGAAGAGACGGGCGATTGAGGAGGCTGTTTCTTTCTCGATTATGGTCAGAGCTGGAGAGACTATGTTTTTATTATTATTAATTTCATTGCTAATAGCTTGGTGGTTAGGCAGAAGGGGTGTTAAAACCTTGGTACACATGGACCTATCAAACACCGTCCCGGATCACTTATAAGTATTATGTGCACCAGACCCATACGGGCGAGCCAGGGGAATAGGGGAGAGGAGGGGAATACATTGGTGTTCAAGACAGCTAGCAAGACTTCGCTAACAACCCCCACAGCATCCGTGGATGCATAAAGCTTATCCATGAAGCCAGGGCTCCATGTGTTGACCGAATACTTGAGCACCTTCTTTAGGATCTCTTCTAGGCCCTTCTCTCCACGCCCTTGCGTGGGTAGCTCTAGCCCAAGTTCTTCTTTGAGCCTTTGCGGTGGGAGATAACCTGGCATCAAGTTATCATCTGCGGAGGAAATGTACGGGAGGAGATGAGACTGCGCGAGTTTCAGGAGCTGGAATCAATGGTCTGATGTTAGGCTATGAAGGACAACATGTTGACACAAGATAGTGAAACGTCGTACTCTTTCTACCTCGCAGGCTTTCTTCTGCGAGAATTTCTGGGACGGCAATGCCATAGCGAAGTGTGGGCTGGGAGTAAGAATATGATAATATGAGGGTTTTTGATTAAAGAAAAGTGCTGAATATCCCTCTGCTGTTGGCACACGGTAGAGTACAGTTCAGCAGATGGACAAAGTGCTGGCGTTGTCGAGTAGGAACACTTTCTAAACGTGCCCATACTCACACCCGCCCCCTTGTTTTCCCAAGCTATGATATATAGTGTAGAAGTAAACTACATTATCCCATGATATGACAAAAAAAAAGGTGGCCCGCTTTTAACTTTTACGGCGCCTCTAAGCCGGATTCGGCGTATGCAAGGGGATCCTTTACTATCGGTGCTCTACTTGTATCGTCGGGCTTATTCTTTATTATCCGACCTTCCCATTTCTTGTAAGAGCATGGTGATGGGACAGGGTGCCGGTAATACAGAAGTATCATAATTATTGATATATATACAGTTCATACAGGTAAGGAGGGATAAAAAGGTCTCTCCTGATAGTGACGTTCGAGATGCGATGTGATGAGATATTTTTTTGGTAGGCGGACGGGTATCATACCCATTTTTTTCTCTTTTCCGCATGCCTTTCTTCCCGTCACTACCGGTACTTTAGTGGAGGGAGGAGCACTGTATGTACCGTGTGGGTAGAGAGGGAGAGAAAAGAAAAGAAAAAAGAAAAGAAAAAAAAGAGAGATTTTCCAACCGTGACATCACCGCCGGATTTTCTTTATTCCGACAGATCCCTGTTCCTGGCGGCGTTTGTTGGGGCCGGTTGCCGAGTTCTTCCTAGAGGCGTGACGTTCCCGCGCGAGCTGGCGTGACGTCGCATCAATCGTCAGCTTCATCCAACCATTCCCCGATTCAACCACATGGGGGAAAAGAAAAAAAGTGTATGAAACGGAAACAAACCTCGATAGCAGTCTTTTTCTTTTCCACTTTATTACTATTATTATTCCTATCGCCATCCATTGGCCCCCCGTTGGCGATTGCGAACCACTGATTGCGACTGCGTTTATATTTATCCATGGACCAGTTCCGCCAGACCACCCGGCCAAAGAAGCTCTCTCGCATGGAGGCCTCACCGGATAGCAGTTCGCTGGCTATCGCTTGCTTGATGTACATTATCCCCTGGGTAGCTGGCCAGCACGCGTCGACTATGTGCGAGCCGTTGGGACTGAGTGATAGGGTTACGAAGGAGCCTTTCAGGATGTTTAGGAGGGTGCGCTTGTTTGGAGTTGTGGTGTGGGGGGATTGGAGGTATGCTTGGATTAGGTGGGAGGCTTGTGGAAGCTGCGATAGGCCAGCAATCGTTTGCGGGGGTTGGGCGAGGATGCTGTAGCGATGTTAATTGGTTTATGTGAAGAGGGGGGGAGGGATAGAGGGCGGGCCATCTATTCTAACCTTTCGCTGATTATCCCGTGGAATTTGCCTGGGAGTTGGAGCATTGATTGAGCTAATAGAGAGCCGTACCGTTGTGATGGATCCCGTTTGGCCTTTCCGGAGGTCTCTTCTTTGGGGGTTAGATCTTCTGGGGTAAGCCCCATCATGTTGAATATTAATTCTGCTGGCTCGCAACCGTAGGCGGACGCTATGGCCTGTGGTGTGTGAGAGGGCGGACACATATGATGAGTCGAAGGATCAACATACCTCTGCAATGCCGCTTGCTTCAACACCCTGTTTCGCACAGCGGTCTATCAAAGTCTTCACGACAGCAACCTGCGACCTTTCTGCGCCGGGGGGTAAGCACATGCATACATTACATTACTTATCCCGGCAAACATACCAATCAATCCTTTAACCTGCGGTAATATCTCCCCTAAGGCCTCCTCAAGCATATGCTTCTCAAGCCTCCCCAAAATCCTCTGGACAACAAACCCCGCAGTTTCGTTCCTGGCAAGACTTCCTATCCTTCCTTTGAAGAAGGCTTTGTACAATTTCTTGAAGTCCTTTTTCGGTGCATACACCACTATTTTCTCTGCAAGGTGTGAGCCTACCGGATCGTAGAGTAAATTATTGAAGAACGACGAAGAGTCCGATTCGCCGGATTTCTCATCCTCAGCGCTTATTCCTGTGAGCTTCCCTAGGAGGGTGTTCTCTTTTGATGCTGCTCCTGCCTTTTTATCATTACTACTACGGCCCATTTCTAGTTGCATCAGAACTTGTAGCGTTGGACCTCCAATTTGGTGGACTGCCATCGACCGGATTTCCTCCGTTGACATACCTCCGGCCGTGGCAGCGAGAATTTTCCCTATAGCATCGTGGAATGACTGTGGTACGGGTATATTTTCCGCTGGTTCTGAGATAGGAGCAAAATCAGATGAGAGAGTGATCTTTTCCTTTTTCCTGCTCTGTACCACATCTGACGGGACTGTTTGTCCCGATAGCAAAAGCAGCAATCCCCGAACGGTGTGTGAAGCAAACCTATCAGTGCACAAGTGTTTGAGTTGTGGCTCGAGCTCCTAACTCTGGTTAGCACCCACACAAAGGTATACTTGTGGTGAAGACATACGCTAAGCATATATAAGAACAGGCTCTCCATACTGGCAAAGAACTCGTCTGTTACTGTGTCGTCGACATAATCATCTTCCATCTCTTTCGAGGCAATCCCCACTGACTGTCGGAACAACATCTCGCAGCAATGCGACGCAAACCGATGCTGCGCTAAGTTCAAGAAACTATTCCCAACCAGTCAGCACTTTCTCCAGCCCGGAGAATCGAGCAAACCCTTACTGCCCAGTGAATTTCCGCCAAAGAGACTTTAATTGACTCGGCGAAGACATAAGTATCAGTCTCTCCAGCAACCTAGAGCACCCTTGGCTATTGGCAATCTTGAGTTCCTTCCCATTGGCCTCTTTCCAAACGTTTGCAATGAATAGCGCTCTCTCTATAGCAAAAGCCATCCTAGCATTAGCTATCCAGAAATTCCCAATTGGGCAGAGAACTGGGAAATACCATCCCCATCCCCAAACTGGTTCAGTTCCAAAATCTCGTCCGCTTTCCGGAAGTACTCCGATTCCTCCCCATTGAGCAGTCCGTAAAACTGAGTATCCTCCTCCTCACCCCAGGCCTCCACACCATCATACCCGCTGTGGAAATGCCCGGCCTCTTCCGCTAGTGCAACGACTTGAGGACCGGGCTGCCCCTTCTCCGCTTCTTCCTTCCGCTTCCTTTCGGCACGACGACCGCGCTTTTTGGCTTCTTTCGGCATACTTCCGGGGGTGCTGGTTCCTTCTGTTGGTGGGTTTGATTCTGGTTGAAGTTTCGCAAAAGACAATTTGTGGAGGGATGCTTGTTGAGCCGCATTGCCCTAATGCAAGTAAGGCTTGGCAAATCATCAGCTTTCACTCGGCATTGTTTCTCATCCTGAAAATCGGAGATCAGCTACTCTGGCGGGCACGTGGAGGCGGGCATCCAGGTTGGAGTGGAGCAGTAGCCATTGGCTGGGGTTCGCCTTATCTTTGTCACGAGTTGTCCAACGGTTGTTTGAATCGGGCCTGAAGTATCTTCGAGATTGAAATTTCTGCACTGATGGGCTGGTTGGATATGGTGTAAATAACGTGGTTGTATCTACTCGAGCCCTCGCACTTGGTTTGCTGGCCTTGGTCAAAAGGCACCCATGTCGAGTACCGGTACATGGGGAAGGTGTAGTTCCGGAAATTGGCCCAAATTTACAGTACTACGTTGTCTAATCTACGATCAATGCATATACTCGAACGGCACGATGTCTCCTAATCATTTATTGGCTCCTAGATGTACACAACTGCTCTTATAGGCCTATGGCACTGTTCTGGGTGCCTTTCGGGTGGGGGGGGGGGCTTGTCAGCTAATAGGTTTCACCGTCAGCCTCGCCGGATGTCTCCGTAGAAGAAAAAAAAGTCCTGAATGCAATTACCAAGATGCAGTGTAGAGGCCAGCAATCAGGTCCACAAAGTATACTTGTAGATATAAGCAAGGATGGAGTAGAGTGAAGTATAGTGTGCTCAAGCCCACACGTGGAATGCCATTATAAAAATGGCCTACGCTCCACCAGTAGATATCGCTCTTTCCGATGAAGGTTCCACCTATCAGACCCTCCTCCAGAGGGGGGTTCCTTTTCATCTGAATCATCTCTAGAAACGCTACCGGCCCGGATGTTATCAGTATCGCACTACTCGTGAAAGCACTGGCCATGCACACTGACTGACTACCTGACTGGGCATGAATTGTATGTGTGTGTAGCAGCCATAAGTTACTTGATGGGACATCACCTTTTTTCTTTCTTTCCTTTTCCTACAATTTTTAGGACGAAACGCTGATCGGAGGAATGCATATCCGCCTTTCCTCCCGGTTCGTTCCATCGTGTAGTGACCCGGGTCACGCTGTTGTAGTCGGCCGAGGTCCCTGAATTGATATGATAGCTGTTCCACGACAATCGCCACGTATTTGTTACTCTACGCTACATATCGTTAGTAACGATTGTCCATGTCACCCGGAGCATTTAATTAGTACCAGCTCCGGAATGTGATGTTCCTGAGCCGATCTCTTCTGACGTGATGGGGGAAAATCTTGCAAAAAAAAAAAAAAACTCTTTAGCTTGATAGTGAAATAAAAAAAAAGGAAAAAAAGAGTTTCATGTGCTCCGAGATGTTCCGACTATTTTTGTTTTACGCTTTATCTTTCCTTAAGATGCAAGTGGCCGGCTTGAGCAGAAGGGTGCTGAAACAGAGTTGTCTACATTCTGGAATGGACGCCATGTTCCAGGTAAACGATATCGAATGCCTACTCGACCCCACCCCCCCCATCCGCCCTGATTCGCACCCTGGGGCTGTGAGACTTTGGGGAAAAGATAAGCTAAGGCTTTCGTCCCTATTCTCAGATATCATTCAGAGATGGTTCGTTCATGCTCCGTAAACCCTCAAGTATTATGGGCGGGGTTTGTGGTACTCCACCAACTCCGCACTTTCCATGTGTACCACCCGTATTCGGCTGATACTTTGTGATCCCCTGCCAAATGGTATGGCCGACCCACGACCAATAAGAAGGAGAGGACGCCCCAACAGATCATCATTCGCAAGACCATGCATTGCTGTGCATCAAAAGTCTAAGCTGCACCGTGCGAAACAGGTTACTGCCGCTGGACTCTGGCGGACCTTTATGGTAGGGATACGGCTTTCCGCACATCCTCGGAGGAAATGACTGGGGTATCTTCCCCGCCTGAAGCTCAATCGTGCCCCAGCGTTCGGTGGATATATCATTCACGAGCAACAGGGATGATACGATACCAAGTGAAAAACAAGAACCCTGGTGTTCTTAGTGAAATTTGTCGTTTTTCTCTGTATTCTGATATCGGGAGAATACGGAATGAAAAAAACTGGATATAAAACGGGAGAGATCTCTTGGTTGAACGAACGACTTAAATATGAAGGTTTTTTCTTTCTTTGTCCTTCCCGAGAGCCTAGTGGAAATGGTGAAAATGACCAACGGATAACTGGGGGGTTTGCAGCTTCGAATAGTAGTAGACCTTCCGCCTTAATCTTCTGTAGGGCGCTGGGTAAAGGTTCCTTGATGCACTTGCATTATGCCAACAGCCTGTCGTCTATCAGGCCTATGACTAGTTCAGGGGTTCAAGTTCTGATACTACTGTCCGGGCTTCCGTGTAAATCACTTTAGGAATCAAAGGAAGGGTCTGATCAAATCTCCGGTAATAGTAATGACGGGATTGAGGTTTTATTCAAGACTTTGGTTAATAATTGGAGCACTACAGGTTGGTTGGTTCCCCTTATGTTGGATCAGGTGTTAGGGACTCCCGCTGCGGAAGCCTGCCCCCCTACCATTGGGAACCAAGGATATATCGAGGTATGATATCATAATTGATTCCGTCACTCCCAGACCCTCCAAGAAACCTACAGAGATTTCGGCTGATTCTGGTAGGTTACTAGAAAAGACGGGCCATGATGGGGAGGAGGACCCTTCACAACTTCCCCATGGTGCCAGAGCGGGAGCGGGGTTCGAGAAAAAAGAAAAACTTCTAACGAATTATGATAGTAACCTTTAACTCCACCAACGACCATCCCGCGAACCAACACTTTTGAGAGTAGGTGGGGGTGCTGCACTATTCCAGCAGATACTCCATCAATCAATAAAGTTAGGTGCATAATGATACCCGGCGCAATGTAGTCAAAGTCATGAGCAGTGATATTACGAGCTGGGTAGTCGCCAAAGATATTTCCTCCCCTCAGTTACAGCAACCAAAAAAGGCCGACTGTGCCAAAACGACCCTATGAGCAGAGGCAGAATATTATAGACAATGATCATACCGTCGCCCGGAAGTCATGATATACCATGGGTAAATTTCCCCCACACTGCATCTGTCAGAGTATACCCTGCCGCCACCATTTGCCCATATGATTACTCCCGCAAATGGTAATTCTCTTTTTGGGCGGTACGGTACTGTGCCTCTGGAGTTCCCCAACATCAAGAATTCACAATCAACACGAAATGGATCACAACAACAGCGCCCAGAATCCGCTGTATTGATGAAAGAAATAATGAAGGCATTGTGATCTCTCTACTAACAAGGGCCTGGAGAAACTTTTCAACCATTCCAATTGAACGTTCCGTCGGGGCTAGTCCATTATATATATATCTCTTTTAGTTCGGCCGAGTGTACTGTCAAAGAACAAAAAAAGGTAGCGGTAATTTTTGCACAGCTGGTCAATTACGAGATACGCCTTTGAGCTAGACTGGGCACAGCCATAACAGCACGACTTGTCACTCTGTCAGCCTTAAACAGTCGACCCAATTAAGGACAACTTAGCGACGGGATCCTTCACAGTAGTCCTTCAGAGTGCCCAAGAAATACAACTTGGTCTGGGACTTATTTCCAGCTGCGGAAGAATACCTTTGAGCGCAGCACATCTACACATTTCGCCTAGGGACATCTCACTTAAAATATCCCTTACGTCACACTACTTCACTCCTTCCCAAACGCGCGCGGTGTAGATATCCACGAAATATCTGCCCGAGTGATAGTTCATGCAACTGCCCTACGCACTCTCGGATATGACAGTAATCCCACGATATTACAATACTACAGGCGCCCGTTATGTTCCCGGAAATCCCGCCGGCAGCGCACCGCCCAGGGGTTAGCGAGGTGGGATTATACAGACTATCCCCGTCAGCAGCAATGCTTACTTAGTGAACAAACTTTGACATGCGCCTTACTACGGCGATCCCTCACACTGTGAAAAGTTTACCAAGCTGATAGAATTGCCTAGAGATATCCCATCCCGATGTACGGCTTCCCCGCTGGCCAACACGGTTTTCCAATGTCCTCTTGCTCCTTTCGGAATTTCGGCCCTGTCGATGCTGGAAGGCGCTTGAAGATAGATAGATCCCTTTTCCCTCCTCTCTTTAGTTTGCCGACTTCGCGTAAGGAGGTTGCGGCCGGATCGGATACCCTTTCGGGCCCCATTTTCGTGAGAGTTGTGGGAGGGAGTGTCGTAAATTTACTAAGGAGTCGGACCCTGCAGTCTCGGAATGCTGATAGGGTAACTCAATGGGTAGTTATATATATATATATATGGGTTCTCAAGCCTTTTTACAGTCCTTTCATATACTCCCCCTGTCGCGAACGGTGAACTCCTCGAGCTAGCTGGCTGAGGCCATACAGATTTCCAGTTCTGGGGGCCTGGAACGTCACTACTGATGGCTTGAGTGATTGCAGAGCTGGAAATTGACCGAGTGATGGGGAAAGCGTCTGTGTAGGTATCCCCCCCCCCCCTAGAAACTCGCCAGTAGTGTTCTAATTGGAGATGACACACTTGCCAGAGGCAATTTGAAGGCCATGAGGTGGAAATTGCCCACGATGAGTCCATTCTAGATGGAATTGTGGTGAGAAAAGTGGATCTAGGAATACCTCAGTGCCGTGAGTAGAGATGGGTTGAATTCCGTCCCTTGAGCGTGTTTTTGATATTGGTTTGGCCAGGTTTATGTATACTAATATTCCCAGCCCTGCTTAGGCAGTATCGAGGAATGAATACCGGCACTTTCAGCTGCATGTACGAGGTTTGGGGGAGTTTTTAGTGGCGAGGAGGAGGGCTATATCTCACAATATACGACAATTCGCAGCCAGCTTTGCGGGAACTAGAAAGGAAGGAAAATCAAAGCACGATCAGAAGAGAGATGCCGTTAGCTGCTCCACCGTGGAATCAATAAATTCAAGTGTGACCACTTCCAACCTGAGGGCGCACATGACCCCACTGGCTAAAAGTCACAATCGGTTTGGAGGGGCTAATGTCGGGGGAATGAACGATTCAATTTATACAAGCCCCAAAGGTGTGATATTCACAAATCCCAATCATTCCATCTAGCTATGGTACAGGACCAATCTAGCCCCTGGTCCAGCTCCATCCAACATCCACTTCCCCCCAGATCTATGCACCCCTGAACCGTCCCGACGAGAGCACATAAATGTGATTGTAAGCATGCGATCCTTGGCGAAGGGATTGCACTGTATACAAGCCCTATAGGCTCCACAGAATCCAATACTAGCTCCTCCGCGATTGGTGAGGTTAGAGCACTGAGTCTCCACAGCATTCCATTGGCAGCAAGAACCGCGGTTGATGAGGCCGTCGACGGCCCCAAAAGCATCGCTGGTCAGTGGCGATGCGTGGGAAGTCTCGCAGATTCCTTGTTCGGCCGTCGTGGGATCGTTCCAGAGAGGGGAATACATTTCTTTGAGGGCTTCGTAGTTGCCGGCGGCTACGAGAGCTTTGACAACATCATAGTCGAAGGGAGAGACATAGTCCTGTCCGAGAGCGGATGGAATGGCTCCGACGAGAGTAGCAGCAAGAAAGAGAAAGGCGGTGGTGAGGAGGAGTTTGAGCTGCATTTTGAAAAGAGAAATGGTTGATGTAATATTTGGAGGTGGATTCGATATACGGGAGGGGTTTTTCTAGTTGGCTATGCTTTGGATGTTTGAGTTTCAGGTGGAGAAGAGGAGAGAGTATGAGGAAGAGGAGATGCCTTTTATACATTTCCGAGTCTCGACATGAAAGTTGTCGCGAACCTCCTACTCAAGGGATAGGTTTTCTATAATTAGGGTTTCTTCCACCAACTCCAGACAATATCAACAAAAATTCTAGCGCTCAACCATCATTATATATTTGCTTCCTCTATATTACAAAGAAAGAAAAAAAACAGCACATACAGACCACTCTCAACAAACTGCATTCAATCACGGCCGAGACGGCAGACGAGATATCAACCTGTGATCACACATCCTCCATTCCCGTCACCGGAAATCACTCGATACACTCTCTGAGCGAACTTGGATCCTGTTTTTTTTTTCAACAGACAGGGGACTGTATATAAACGTCACCCGGAAAAAAAAAATAAGGAGGCGGGGGGGGGGGGGGGCAAGTCGAAAGGGACCGGCCCCAGATAGACCTCGCGAGCCAAAGAGAATCATTAACTCCCCCAACAATCAACACATTTTTTCACAACCTTGAGCACCCCATTACTCCACGAGATGGGCCGAGGACAACAAAGTGACCGAAACGACAAGCAAGGAGACAGAAGTTAGAAACGATTAACTATAGAGAGTACCGCCAGGTCGACAACCGAGTACTAAAACGGCAAAACTACACTCTTCTAGGAGAGGGCTCGTACTTCCTGTCACATATTCCCCACATTTGACTGACGGGAGTGATGCCGTATGTTTCCCACTATTGGATTACCTCACTGTATGTATCATATCATACTATAATATCACACAAACTTTCAAGCCACACCCCATCTAACCATACCTACCAGTCCCCCGGGAAGCATTCCCTCCCCCACCTCAAACCCGACCTACCAACCCCACCAACCCAAAAATCAGGCAATTTACCACACACCGTAGAGACCACGAACATGGCATGTGTACACCGAGACCACCGTTTCTATGATATCCCCGAAAGCGGAAAAAAAGAAAAAAGCCCATCCACAAGTGCATCCCGTTCCTGCGAGGGGTTCCGTATTATTTATTCCTAATCACTAGTCATGGATTCCTATCATACCTACCCGCTTGTGGATATATCACCTCAATGTATGATTCAAACATGGCATACCGAACACATCCACTCCCCCCCCCCCCCGAATGGAGGGAGCTGGCATGGGACGGGCAAGTATCGATTTTTAAACTCAGGCACTCCCGATGATCCTCATTGAACATCATCGCTCTGGTGGAAGTGCTGTGCCACGCTGAAGAAAACGAAAAGAAAAGAAAAAAAACACCCCCTTCCAGGTTCTGTAGTGTGCACTGCCCAATGTACATACAACTTGTCACGTGGAGCAATGTATAATAGGATCGGTAAGGGAGTGGATATTGAAAACTCTTCAAATCCCCTTATTAACTCCACTCCACTCCACTTCACTTCACTTCTAGTATAACCTCTGGGATATCCGGTTTTAAATTTATTAGTTCTCAAGTGTCATAACTAGCTGCACCTTGTCCCGCGCTTAGGAGTTCAGTCTGAGAAAGAGAAAAAGACCTTGCGGGTGTCGCGCAATTGCCTTATCCGCCGTACAAAACCCCGCAGCCCAGCGCCCTTTACAGACAATACCGAGAGCAGTGTCGATCATGCGTAATCATTCGTTTCACAATCCCCTTCGAGTGACGATATCTACAGTTCACAACTCCCTACCAAGCCGAGTAATCCCCCACCTATTTTATCCGTGCACGCCTCCCAAAAATCTAACCTATCATACTCGACCAACAACACCCACCACAGATCGGACAATTCACAGCCTCAAGCAAGAACCTCTCCGCCTTGGGGCGCACTCACTCCAGATAAACTTCAAATACCTTAGTATACACAAACACCCGCCCACCACCTCCTCCTCCAGACCGCTGAATATACAGGCTCAAGCAACATAAAAAGAAATATAAGTGAAGTGAAGAGTGGCGTCGTCTTAAATATCTAAGGAAAAATTTACAAAAGAGGGGGGGAAAGAAGAAAGAAGAAAGAGTTTTGGTTAGAACTTTTGTGAAAACCTACAAGAGAAATGGGATAAGATTTCGAGGAAGAGAGCCAAGAGGCAAGCGTGTAATGAGAAATGAGGGGAGGGAAGAATGAAAACCCGAAAATAACTCCAAGGCCCATTATCTAAAAAGGACACACATACATAGAAGCAAAAGTCAAACCAAGTACATGTAGCGTAGCAAAGGGAAAAAAGAAAACATAACCACCATAGCCAAGACGATCAAATGAAATCCCTAGCACTCTTCTGCACCTCAATAAGCCTCCACCCGTTCGTCTCCTGATTCGCCACTTCATCTGGTAGTCTGGTGATCCCGACAGCGTACGTGACCTGCTGTACCTTATCTTCCATGCCCGCCTTCAACTCGCCCGTCTTCAAGTCTCGATAAACGTGCACCTCCTGCGTCCTACAGGTAATAATAAAAACCGGTATCCCACCCGGCTCAAGGATCCTCGCGGAGAGGATATCCACATTCCTGATGTCCAGGACTCTCCCATCGAGCTTAAGTCCATTGGTAGTGTACTGTTGGTTCAACGCCGCGTAGACGTTATACTGCGCCGCGCTCAGCCAAGCTTTAAGTACATCTGTGTCCCCCTTACAGTAAGCGTCGAGCACTTCGGGCAATATATACTCGCGCAGCTCGCACAGAAAGGGCTCGACCTGGAAGTTTGGGTCCATTTCTCGGAATTTGCGGATTACGAGGGCAGTTTCGTTCTCAGCGAAGAAGCCGGCGAAGCGGTCAGCGATTGAGCGGGTTACGGATATTACTGGGTTGTTGGATTCCTCATAGGACTTGCGCATGGTGAAGAGAGATTGCATGAGTTTGTTGCTATCGCGGAAAGTTCGCCAGGATTCTTTCCACGCAGAGTCCTTGTGTAGGGTCACGTTTGTTCCCGCGCTGGGGCGACATTAGCTGGAGGCCCCCGGATAAGGGAGGAAGGTGGAGGATGGTACTTTGGATTCTCTTCAAGTTTCTCGGTTTTAACACCGCCTTTGTTCTCCCTTAACAATCTCTGCCGCTTACGCTCCTCCCGCTCCAGATATCCACCGTACCGGCTGCTACTCCCGTCGTCAATCACCTCCTTGACGTTCCCAACCACGTCCTTATACACCTTCGTCTCCCGTACCGGCTTAGTTATGGTCGCTACGCCCTCTCCCGTTTTCCGTACGGCCGCTCGGCCAACCTTAACCACAGGAGTCTCCCAAGTCCATACCGCACCCTTACCAACTGCCGAGGCAGTCTTGCCCAGGGTCTCGGCGGCCTTCCCACCAACCTTTTCAGCAACTTGTGCGGTGGTGCCGTACGCTTCCCGAGCCTTCTTCACCGCAGGTGATTCAGTGAACTGCTGGGCGCTGGAGGCGAGTTGCTTTGTCGATTCCTGCCATTCTTGGGACTTCTTGAATTCGGATTGAAGGGTTTCGTAGAATACCGTCAAAGGAGATTTATCACCGTGTGGGGGAGGCGGTGGGGGAGGTTCTTTTTTTTGTTCCTCTTCTTGTCCTTCCGTCTCTTTCTCTTTCTCCTCTTCTGCACCGGAGGAGGAAGAAGCCTTTGCTCCTTCCCCACTGTTGTCGTTATTGGTAGACGTCTCCACTTTCTCACACAGCGGCCGCAAAGTGGAAAATCCACTCCGAAGAATACCAAACCGTGCCAAACTGCCCCCCCCAGACGAACGTAGCAGATCCCGAAGTATTCGTTGGTTCCCACCAATTCGAAAAGCCGAAGTCGAGTACCGGCTTGCCGCCACTGCCGCTGCGAATGACGCTCGTCGTAAAGGATACATTACGACCTTTAAATTGAGCCCTAAAGATTGATGATACCCGGAGTTTATCGACGGGAGGCAATTGCCCAGAGGAAGGGGGGATGAAAAAAAAAAGGTTTGAAGGAAAGTCGGGAGTAGGACAGAAATGACAACCAATTCCTGTAGTGGGAGGCTCTTTTCTTTTTCCCAGTTGGCCCGCAAGTTGGCCTACAGGTGAAGGGGAGAGGGGATCATAGGGTTACCCGGCTCGGGTGGGGTTATTTGTATGATATGATACCGTATCACCGGTCTTCGCCACAGCGGCAGCTCTTGGGACAGGAGTACTGTACTCGCACTGCAAAACCTCATTGTCCAAACCATACAGTATCATACCGTATTCAAGCTGCAGCGGATTACAGCAAGCGATTATCGTAGACACTGAAACTTATCATACTGCACTATACTCGATTATAATATTGATGAATTTAGGATACAATGCTCCCATAACTCCTATTATAAAAGTAGAACCCCCCTGTATAAATAAAAACAGGAAACAAGAGTCAATCCTACTCCCGGACCCAAGTACTCGTATAATACCGTATGATAACAGCGATAATAGCAGCCCCCAACACTAGATCACCGCACCGAACCCCAAGAATAATCATTGGCGCGCCTTACAGCTGCTCGATTTAAAGGATCGAATGCTCAGCGCCACTGTCACATATCCAGCCCCGGGAAAACTCATCACCCCATAGTTGCAACAGCCCAACGGCCATCACTTCAATTATCATAAGCCAGGTACCGTATTAGGATATCCCACTCAACCCTACACCAACCAACTATCGTCAAATGTCGAGCTACAGTACTTTCCCTCCCTCAGCCCCCCCGTGGAATGTCACTCATATATGCCATAAAACGCCGCGTACATACAAGAAAGGAAAGAAGGCAAGGGAAGAAGGGACCGGCTTCCAAATAAACGCACGGCAGAAGAAAAAGAACCAATCGGTCAATAATGTATAATGAAGAGCAGAAAGGACGTTTAGACAACAATAAACAAAGATCGAACACCCGGGGAAACAAATCACAAGTTCTGTTGAAGGATAAGGTCGGCTTTAATGCCTGCTTTCGTTGCAAAGGATGGGAAAAATTGTTACAATGAGAAAAGCGAAAAAGGAAACCAAGCAGGAGACGAATCAAGATGCCGTTAGTCGGACGATTAGTGAAGGCTTCATGACTAGAATTTGAGGCCTCTGATCTTTTGATATAGACCTGTATCCAAGAAGTTAAAGTTTGGATCCAAAGAGCAGAACTCGTGTTTGTTCAATAGAGTTGCGGCAGTCGGTCTCTCAGAAGGCTCACTACAAGAAAGTCAATTGAGGATACTTTTATACAGGATGCAAAAGCATAACTCACACCGTATGACAATCAGCCAAAAACCCAATGGCACTAGGACTAATAACCTCCGCGACATCGTCTGGAATCGGAGGGGCCTGGCGCTCGCTACCAAGTTTGTAGATAGCTCCGATCGCTTCCTCTTTGCTCCAGGGGCGACGTCCAGCAAACATTTCAAGTACCACACATCCGAGGGACCAAATATCAATTTTAGCGCTATAACCCTGGCCCTCGGGCCTAATGACCTCAGGAGCCATCCAGAACACAGAACCCTGCATTGAGTTCCCAGGATCATCGCCATAGATATTGTCTGCAGTAGCTGGTCAGGTACATGTAACTCGGCATGAAAATATCATCCCACTTACCGCTCTTCTTAGAAATCCCGAAATCGGAAATCTTGCAGGTTCCGTCTATGTCTAACAAGATATTGTCTGCCTTCAGATCTCTATGAAGGATTCCCTCCCTATGCAGATATTCCAATCCGCTCAGTGTTTGTCTGGTCAAGCTCCTTACAACCGATTCTTCGAAAGGGCCGTGCTTCCTTAAACAGCTACCAACGCTGCCACCGGAGATATATTCTAGGAAGATGCTCATGTTCATCTCCTTCCTCTCGCACCCAAGGTACTGGACAATATTAACATGGTCGAGATGTTGCATAGTCTCAATCTCCTGGTTCAGTGCCGCAATCATCTCTTTCTGTCGATCACTATCATTGTCTGACAAGCCCTTCGACACTTCCACTTGCTTGACAGCCAAAAACTCTCCCGTGGTTGCATTCATGCCAAGGTAGACTCGCCCATAGGTACCCTTACCAATCAACTGACCCTTGAACCATCGGAAGGTAGCTTGGCGCTTGATTCCACTCTGCTGTTGAACCGGTGGCGGTGCCTGTTGTGCCTGTAACATAGCTCCACGTTTTGTAGGCGTGACTTCAATCAAGCGGGCCCCGAACATCTTTGTACTCTTCCTACGAGAGATATCGCCGGATTTCGAGCCAGCTGTGTTTGTTTGCGTGAACCTCTTTGATTTCTCATGGGCACCCTTGGCAACTTCACGGATAGACTTCAACCGGACCAATTGTGAACGACCAGCATTCCTCTGTGCAACGACATTTTTGCCCTTGCTAACGGGGGGAGGTGGCGGCCCCATTGCGCCTGGGGGCTCAGATGCGCTCGGAGATTCCGATGGGATATCGGCCAGTTGGTATGAGTGAGGCTTGCTCTCAGTAGCAGGTGAAGGCGAGGGGGGTGGAGACACGCCAACTTCATCCGGGATAGGCTGGTCCAAATTCAAGCCCGGGAAGAAATCGTCAAGATGATCGATAAGTGCCTCGGCGGGAGGGCGCGACGCCCATACGTCCTCTTTACCAAAGGAGTCCCGACGGCCCAAGCGCATATAATCAGCTGGGGAATGGGCAGACGCTGCAGCGGAACCTGGGGCAGATATGCTGTGAGAAGCAGGAGAGTTCAGCCCTAATTTATCATCCCCTTCTTCGAATTCCGGGGAATTCATTGCACCATTACTTCCACTAGCAGTTGCGGATGTAGTGGGTGTGGCTTTAAAAGTGACGTTCTTGGTATTGGTAGCAATTGTCAACGTAGGCCTAGGGGAGTCCATATTTCTCTCCTCGGTCTTGGGGAACTCGGTTTTCGGTTTTTCACCCCGCGAGGAGATCGGTATCGCAAACAAACCATCATCCTCATCACTGTCCTCGTCGTCTTCCTCCTCCCGCGCTCGAGGTCCCGCGCTTGTAGGCGTAGACCGGGAAAGGAATTGAACATCGTTTCCTTGGATATCTATTGGGGCACCCGCCGGGAGGTTTGACTTTCGGATGCCGAGGGGAACGTCACGATCGCCCGGGCTGATTTCGGGAGAGCCTTGCCGCGGGAGAGGTGTCGTCGGTATCTGAAGGGTAAGCTTCTCGGGCCCAGTTTCATACTCTGGCTGATAGTCAGGTATCTTGAACAATTGATTCCCTTTGCCCCACGTAAAGCCAGGGCTACTGGGGGTCCCACCTGACTGAGGGCTACTCGTGCCCGAGTGACCAAAATCTACTTTAGCCATTGCTCGTGGCCTCGGTGACTCCTGAACCTGCTGCCCTTGTTGCTGGTACTGTTGTTGCTGCTGGTGCGGGGCCGCTTGTTGGTTAAACGATGGCAAAGACGGTGTAGAAGCAGACTCGCGGGGCATGCCGGGAATCGGTGTTCTGGTAACCCGAGTGGATAAGATGCCTGCCGATATTAGGGAGGATCCGATTCCCGTGTCCGGACTCTGGCGATCCTCATGTAAGGGTGACACCCCCTTTCTCCAAGCCCTCTCCGACATCTCGGGTGCCTTCTCCGTAGCAACAGCCGTCCTATCAATACTCACTCTCCTCGTCGCCGGAGCGTAACGCCCACCAGCATCTGCCGGCAAGCCTCGCCCAAAGTCGCTCCCTACCCTAGAGATAGATCCTATCGAGCTACGATTGGATGGCGGCGGTGGTGGTTTGCGTTGTGGTATCAATGTCTCCATTTTAACATCCTCATATGGCGAGGGCCTGGGGTTATCAAAATCAACCACCCGCCCAGTACGGGTTGTTGTTTGCACCCTCTGGAAAGCGGCCGGCGATCTCTCCGTATCGATCTCCTTCTCCTTCTTCCTCTTAGTCAACCGCCCGGTCTGCTGCTCCTGCTGTTGCTGCTGAGCAATTGTTTCAAGTCCCTGACGGCGGACTTGTGCAGCTGCCCCTAGTTGATTAGTGCCAGCAGAGCCTTTATGAAGAGGGCCATGGGCCAGCACTGAAAAGTTTGTAATTGGTGATGGGTCCTCATCGAAGAAGAGTTCATTTTTGCGCACTGTCTGGGGCAAACCAGTATCACTAGGCGAACCATTTGTAGCAGTTCGAAGTAGAGGCTTTAGCGGCGGCGGTGGTGGTGATTCAGAATAGTCATTCTCCCAACCAGTGTACGATGAATATGCAGATCCCGGGTCCGGTACAGGATCATTTGGTGATGGCTGAACTGATGAGTGCGGGCCTGAAGGAGTCGGGCCAAGACTAGGTGTGGGGACAACGTTGATCTTAGGCCCTTGATCCTGGTGTCTCCGCAGAAGCGCCAGCCGCTCTCGCAAGTCATCCAAGTCGTCCCTGGGCTGACCGCCCGAACCATTCAGGCCGGGGTCAGGGAGTGTCCCAGCCGAGCCAGTGATATCGCTCTGCTTCAATGTCGAATCTCCCGATGAAATAGAAAGATGGGGAGAGGAAGATCGTCGATTCAGCTGTTTTTGCGTTCTTTCTATTTGCAAAGGTTGAGGTTTTGGGCCAGAATTAGAGGGACGGCTCGGGGGCTCTGAAGTATAGCTCTGATGCGGCGGTGTGCTCGATAATATTTGTCCGATAGAGCTTTCTGCTGGCAAATCAAAAGCAGACATCGGAACCGGTTGCACGAAGAACTTCAAACTAGCTATATTGTCTCCTCTAGTTTGGCAAGACAGCTTGAGCATCTGGTCCGTTAAAGTTTCATCTGCAACAGAAATTAAGTTATCAGCCCACCGATATCGCAATGTTATTGAGGAGTAAACAGAGGGGGGTAACATGCTGTTCATAGACTATATCGCTTACCGTTCGGTTCTTGGCCAACTTCAGTCAGATGGATCGCTGCTGCATCATAGTCATTGATTCCAAGATTGCGGCAAATTTCCTTTCTAATCTCCCCTCCCTTTTCTAAACTCGTCACATCCACAGAAACCCATACTTTTCCATCTCTTGTTGCAAACACATACACCGACTTACCGTTCCTTGGAGTTCCCCCGCCAGGAACTGATCTCAGATTACCTCCTCTCGGCCTCAAGGCATCCACAGATGAAACCGAGACATCAAGCGAAGAGTCACTTGTATTATTCTCAGGAATTGTGAATGGTAGATTTGGGGCGCCCGACCCTGTAGGGGAGCCATCCTCAGTATCATCATCAGAAGGCTCCCTCCGGAATTTCTTTCGAAATTTATTCACGAGACCAGAACTGCTCGGCTTCCCATCATAGTCCTGGCGAGCAATTGGCCGTTCGTTCGGCGTGATGCCCAAAACAATAAGTGCTTTCTCCTTCCCTTTCCCATCTCCAGGCCTGTGATTCACGGTACTAGATGTGACAGACTCTTGGGAATTTGATTTTCCGTGACGAGTCGAGATGGGCTCGTGACGGATCACGGACTGGTGTCCCAGGTGCGGAGAATTTCGTGGACTGCTAGAAAGCGCCTGTTTCCCAAATATATGGCCATCAGTTGGGTCGCGTATACTAGCATCAGAATTTGATGGGGAATGTCTAGGAATCTGGTCAATGCTAGCCAAGGCTCCCTTTGAGAATTCATTTCTGGATCGCGGTTCGGATGTGCCCACTCTATGTTGTTGTAGGGTAATCTCGCTTCCGCCCCGTGGAAGAAATGGTTCCGATGCATTGTGGGACCCATCAGAATAAATATTGGAAGTCGGAAACGTAGTTCCTCTTTGCGTGGGAAACCGAGTCTGAGCGGGAGATCTCTGAGATGTGCTTCCCATTATTGCTGGTGATTCTCCGTTCTCGGGGGGGTTATGTCCAGCGGGTGGTGGGGTATTCGGGATTTCCTGGGAGAGCTTTAATATCTCCCGGACCATCTTTTTAATGTTCCTAGCCGCCAGCTTCTCCTTAACAGGATCGGCGCTCGGGCCGCAAATCCGTAGAACCTCGGGGAGCACAATCTGTAGCAAACTCGCAGAATTGTGTTGCCCCATTTCTAAAAACCCTGCCCCGTGTATGTTAAGATTACGGAAGGCCTGCTGCCATTCCTCAGAAAATTCATGTCGGTTAAGATAAGCAACAACACTATCCAAAGTCCAAACAGTAGCCACATCCGGGGAAAGGGGACCCGCCGCATTCGAGACAAGGGGTGATTGTTGAGAATGGGAATGAGACACATGAGAAGAACGGGTGATTCCATTAGAGACGTTACGGTTGCCCGCCGAGGCTGACGCAGATCCAGAAGAAGTGGCTGTAGCGGGAGTCATGTATTCACTATCAGCGTTTGATTCGGCCCTAGTAAAGGAGGAAGCTATGCTCTCGGAGGATTGTGTCGAGTGTTGTCGGTACAGGAGTGATTCTGTCGGACGATGAGGGTGGTGAGGGGGGTGGTATGCATGGGAGTGGGAGTGAGCATGTAGGTGAGGAGCGTAAGCTGGATTGTTGTTACCGTTGGCTAAACCGTTCTGGTGGGGTGCCGATAAAGGCGGGAGTTGGGGCGGGGGCAAGGAGGGTGCCGAGGAGGATGCGGAGGGTTGGTGGGGTGCGTACGCACCGTACTGCTGGTGCTGTGGGTGGTGATGATGTGAGGCGTAGTGGTAATTCATCATGCCCTCCCGCCCATGGCTCCTCCCAACACTGGCTTGGTGGGGCACATAACCCGCATCCTTCGCCGGCGGAGGAGGAGGCGGAGGAGGCGGAGGAGGAGGGGGCAAAACAACCATCCCATTCTGCATCGGCGGTGATCCAACGGGAAATCCATTTCCAGCGACTCCACCCCCGCCTCCTCCACCGATTCCTCCCATCCCCCCAGCACCCCCATTACCGTCCCCCCGAACCCTACCGGTGCTACCGCCATCCAGTACAGACGTCGACACATGGCGAAGACCCATTCCCCCTGGATGCCCCTGCATCATCGAATTCCTCGAGGGTTGCCGTGGTTGTAGCCCTCCAAAGGCCGCGGCGCCTACATTGGATGGCGAAGAATCGGCACTTGTATGAGCCCTTGGTCGGTTTTGGGTTATTGTGGGGTATGCTGAACCCGCTCCGAAGGTTGGTATGGGTAGCGAGTTTCCATGGAATGTGGGTATCTCCGCAGCGTTCAGAATAACGGAATCTACGGGATCGTGCAGTGTGTGATTTCCTGAACCCCCTCCCATACCTCCTGGCGAAGGTGTGCTACTATGAACCGCGTTGTGTTGGGAGAGAGCGCTCGCTGAACGTTGGCGTGAACCCATTGATCGGTAGCAACCCCACTTCAGTCCCTTTGTTTGTTACTGTATCGCTTTATTCCTTCCTCCTCAAAGGCCTGGGAGAGTTGGGGAGGGTAGGCTAAACGAAAGCTGAAGCGTCCGTCGCCCACTATCATGTGTCGGTGAGGAGAGCGAGTGGCTACCAATGCCGGTAGACTATTGGCTGACCGTGTGCGGGCGACCTACCCAAGCCGAGTTCAACAGGCCGCTATCAGGCCCCGAATTTTTTTCCCAAGACGATGGCCCGCCCTATCCAACTCCTTTTACCGTTTCGCTCTCGACTAGGCAAATGAGTTGAGGTTGGCTCGCTTTGTTCACTTTTCTGACAGAGATGGTTGTCGGTGTTTGCTTCCCCCTCCTCTCGAGGTAAGGGATGGATGGATGGATGGATGGATGAATGAATGAATGAATGAATGAATGAATAAGGTGCCAAAAGAGCAGGGCAGTTTGTTGTTTCGTCGGTCGTTCGATGGGGTTGTCCAGCACAGCCTTTGGGGGATTGGACTCCCTGCTGCCACACCCCCAAGCTTGCCTCCAATCTCTGCGAGCGCTTTCTCCGCCTTTCGTTTACTTTTTCGGGCTGCGCCTTTCGGCTGTCCTACAAGCCCCTGCACCAAAATCTAGCCTGCGAGCCAAAATTGCCCCCCCACCCTCTTCCAGACTTCAACAGATGCGGGAGATTATGATACATACAGCACCGCGCATCAAAAGGTGTTCAAAAAATTACCGAAACATTGGTTTCTTCGCCAGCAGAGGAGAGGTAGAAACCGGTTCTCAGCTTCATGATCACCGGTACAAGTGTATATTGCCTATCTCCCAGGAAATGAGATTTATCGAATCGGATTGAGGGAATCCGCTGGGGATCCGGACAAACGTAATCCCGTTACTTCACAATCCCCATTATTCGAGCACAGTAAATTTACCCTCAAACTGCCGAAACAGAGAGAATATCCTCTGGAACCATAGAGATTTCAGGAAACCCCCATTCCCGATATGATACCCGAGCTTCCCCTCAACCCTCGTGCTCACCGACTTCAGGGGTCGAGGCCCGACGGCCAATCACGCATGAACCGTCTCCGTAACGGTCCAGTACTCGTGCAGTACGAGCACACTCGAAAAACACCTCGTCTCTACAAGGTCTACCGTACCGGTGCCACCGGTATGCGAGTGCTCGGCAGTAGTCTGTTGAGGTTCAAGTTCTCGAGCACAGCGCCCTGTGCGGGGACTTCAATTTCCCATAAGGCCTACGGATTGTTGCTTGTAAATCTCGCGGCACACCTGCATGGGATACAGCACCATATCACAGCATCCACGAGAGGTTCTCCAATATCCCCCAGCCCTCGTCCCTCGGTCCCGCGAATGGAGGTAGAGATAGCGAAAGAGACAGATTGACCGTCGGGTGCGGGTACTGTACAGCACTTGATATGGACAGCGGAGCACGTATCATACGCTACACTACACTACACGGCGACAAATACCGTACCATGCCGTACTCGAGTACCGTACATCATCACCACAGCGCACAAATAGGCCTGATACAGCATACCGGTACCGTATTACCCTTCCGACAGTAATAGGCAGAGCCATGTCCGTACGGTTCTCACACCAGCACCCTTCCTTGCATCCCACGAACAATACCTATTGCAGTGAGAACAGAACAGCAAGAGCCCTTTAGATGACTGTTTTCGGATATGCCTCAAGGGACATTGCACGCCCCTTTCTTCCCACAATTCGTCCTCACTGAACAATAGAAAGAGCGGGTTAGCGAAGTCACCCGCCCGGTTTCGTCGTAGGTACGGTGCAGACTGTAGCGGTACTTGGAAGGGCACTAGGATGGACACCGCTGCAGATAGCAGGGAGACTTGTACCGGTACTACAGTACGGAGTACGAGTGCTTGTACCTTTATTCACCGGTACAAGTACAGTACAAGTATCATACTGAACTCACGCCAGCACAAGTACCGCCCACCCGCTATCCCCAAGACACATTTTCGAGCCGATCTGTCAGTTATACCGTATGCATACGGGCGTTACACACACACACCAAAGACTCGAAAAAGCTTGCATAAAGGTTGTTCAACCCAGGGGCTGAATGCCCCCCCAAATTCAAAGAAGCCATGCCCCGAACCAACTGCATAAGTTACCTGGGATCTGTGACACCATACCCGGGAACCGCACCAACTGCAGCGCACTCACACACCGCAGAATATGATGGACCACCGCTACGCTACCGGTACGAGTACTCGAATTCTCGTATACAATCACACCTCGAAATACTGTTGCCGGGCCAAACACGAAAATAATGACCAAAAGGCCATGATACCTGTACTGGTGCTCCCTGAAGGTTAGGCGGAAACCCCGGTGTGAGTAGGTTATCGTAGCGGTAGCTTACCCCTTGAAATTTTGAGACATCCGGGGGTGCATCATTGCAAAGGCAAGGAAGAAGGAGGGAGAGTGTATCATATTACCGGTATCATGCCCCGGACAAATGGATACGGTACGGTAGCGGTAGCGGTGGACTACCGCACTGGCAGATGAATACCGTGTGATAACGGTTTGCTGGTGGAGGACAGGCTGACGTACTCGAGTATGGGAGTGAGACATGGCGAGTGCTCTCCTGGCACTGTGGTCTTGTCTTGGTTGTGGCGCTCACACCATACCGCACGACAAGGTAGCTTTTTTTTTCACTTTTTTTTCCCCCTGCTCCTGCTAGAAGCAGCATATCCAGGGTTAAAAGGGTTGAAAAAGCATGATATGATACCGGTAACGGTACGGTACTCGTAAGCTTACGGTATGATATTCACATGACACTTTGCTGCCTCGTGTGAGCTTGGAATATCATACACCGAAAAAACTCCCCCGTTACCCTGCTTTACTGTACGAGGGACCGTGGATTCTTACAAGTAGACCGGTCGCGCGTGCAACGAGAGTGGTACCTACAACGAGATCCTAAATTAGTAATCTGCCAAGAGGGATTTATATATTTAGTCATTGGTAAATATGACGTAAAGGAAAAGATAGAATATATAGAAGAAAGATACTTGAAATACAAGAAAATCTCAATTGAATAGTAACAACAAAGTCAGTATGATTCAAAATGGCCTACGAGAACAGTTGGGAATCGAAATGTTGGAAAAAGGTGAAGTAAAGTCCCAAAAGGAGGCAGCTGAGGCAGTGGGTATTCCATAATCCACATTTAATCATTGGAAGATACTATTTTGAAAACAAAATTACAAGAGCATTGGAAAACCATGAATTACTAATAGATACACTGGCAATCTGTTAACAGAAAGGACGAGAACCCCGTGAAGATACCGACAAGAAGAAGCAACGATTAACCCCAGCAGAAGAGACAGTCCTGATCAACCAAGCCTTTCAACTCAAGCAATGGGGATTTCCAACCAGAATATACAACTTTCTGGATATGGCAACGCATATCTATCGTCAGCGGATTCCGATGGGGACACTTGGTAGGAGATGGCTTCAAGGTTTCTATAAACGACATTCAAATGTGAAGTCACGGTATAGTCAGCCAATTGACTTCATTCAAACAGTTCAAGGAAACAACTTGGAAGCTATTACCTCCTTTTTTCAAACAGTAAGTCATTAGATTTGCAAAAACATCCTAATTCATTTCTCTAGTTATGAAGTTAATCAGTTTAAAGTACTACTCGATAGTTCAAGAGTATGAAGTTCTTCCTGAAAATACCTACAATGTCGATGAAATTGGTTTTATTATGGGATTCATTGCCTCCGAGAAGGTAATTGACATTGTTGAGAGGCCACGATCTGGTGGAAAGCTTTTTGTCAATCAGCCAGGAAATCGTGAACTTGCAACCGTAATTGAGGGAATCTGTGGTGATGGATCTACACTTAGTCCTATGATCATTTACAAAGCACGAGACTTCTGAGAAGACTGGTTTGAAGACCTACCTGATGTTCCTAAGGACATTCTGTTCGGCAAGTCTCCGAATGGGTGGACAGATGAGGGAATCGCCAAAAAGTAGCTAGAAAAAAACTTTGGTCCATCAAGTTGGTCAGCGAGAAAAGCAGGAACACAGTATCGAATTTTGCTATTCGATGGACACAACTCTCATGTCAATGTCAGTTTTCTTCAATACTGTATTGATGCTTGAATCATACCTGTTTGCCTTCCGCCACACACAAGTCACCACTTGCAACCTCTCGATGTTTCCGTATTCAGTCCGTACAAGCATGCCTATCGGACTGAGTTGCAGCGCAGATTTCAGAATCGAGAACTTAGTGTCAACAAGCGAAACTTCTATAAAATTGTTAGTCATGCTCGAACAATGTCCCTTACTCCGAAAAATATCCATAGTGGTTTCTGGTATGCAGGAATCATACCATCCGATGGTGAAACTATTCTGCGTCAACTTTGTGAGGAACAAGCAGCACGCGAAAGAACGAGGCAGCAGCAGACAGGCTTCATTACCCCTACCTCTGACAAGCCATTATCTGATCTCGAATTGTCAGAAGTTGCCCACCTCGGTATACCTGACCAGTCAATACAACTCCAAAGTCAGGCACGATTGATTTTAGATGACCTACCACCGATATCCCCACAGAGCTGGCGTCGACAGTATGTGTTAAAAAACATCCTGCAGTATACGGAACGTGAGGTTACCGAAAGCAACCTCAAAGACGAACAAATCAAGCTTCTGGAACAGCAAATCCGAAACCTTCAAAAGAAAAAAAAAACCAGTCGAAAGCTCATTCCCAATCAAGGAACCTCCTTCCTATCTCACGATGATATTACTTCCTTTTTCGCCCACTGTGAAGCTGAACGTCAGCGCAAACGTCAAGCGGAAATCGATCGATTGAAAGTAAGAATTGGTACGATAGAGGCTAGGATTGATTCTCTGTTAGCAAAGCAAATCCGAGTAGTGGAGCGAGAGAGAGAGAATCGAAAACCTAAGAATTGGAAAACATCTGCCCAATTAAAAGAGGAGGGAACTGAACTTGAAAAAAAAACTACTCGAATTGAAAACGAAACTTCAACATACTGAGAAAACCAGAGACTTGGATGAGACAGATAGCGAGAGTGAAGGTAGTGCTATTGGAACTGCAATTATCTCTGAAGAACATGTGGCTTCCATAAACTATGCCTGATTGGTCTGACGAGGTTTGACCTGCTTCTTTTTTTTTTTTTCTTTTTTTTTCTTTCTAAATCTGTCAATCATGTTAGCAAATATGCAAGTGTTTTTTTGTTGGAGGAGGACTATACTTACTGCTTCATCTTGAAAAACGCGGGTTGTACAGTGAAAGGTTGTATCAGAAAAGGCTGTTTCGTGGAGAGAGTATTTGTGGTGTGGTGGTGGAGGAATGGTGGAGTTGAGTTGAAGTTATGCAGACGGGCTCCCAGGCCGATGTTAAGCTAGCTTGGCAAGTGCTTAATAAGGCAGTTCTCGCTGTAGGTGCAACTCTCGTTGCAGGTGCAACCGGTCTACGAGTACACGGAAACCTTGATGCCAAGTCCCACGCAATCAACTTATTCACCTATCCTTAGAGCCAAGCTGTCCGGATACAGCATGATACCTTTGGAATTCACGAGCACCATACCGTACGAGTACTAGTACAGGCACTAGCCGACGGAGATTATTTGTGGGCTAACCGAATTTACTGGTAACCGTTTACTCGTACTTGACTTTCTGGTGGGTACAGTACGTAATTTACCGTATCATACTTGTACGATGTCATACCGGCACTTTTTTTTTTTTTTTTTCATGCTTAGGAGGAAGGTGCTGTATAGGCGGAAGACCTGTACTCGAGTACCGTACTAGTACATGTAACGGTCACAGAATTCCGTCTGCCATATTGGGACTACCCGTACAAGTACACGAAGCAAAAGGAAGTCCCTTTTTTTTTTTTTCAGAAATCAGGAGAAATACGAAAAATGGTGGCACGCTTTAAAAGCGGTCCGGTCACCCATTTTGCCCACACAAAAAATGACTAAAACTCTTAGCTCTCGCTGACAAACATTCCACAGTTATTTTCATATGTCAGGTCGGTTTTCACCTCTACAGTACTCGAGTATGATACTTGTGGACCATCCTTCTGCCTCGTGTTAACTTGTTTTGGCGCATTCGAATACGCTAGCCAAGACATGGGGACACTACCGGTATCATAACGCCATAAAGTACTCGTAGTCTAACGTGATTGAGCTTCCGTGCTTTCGTAATACTCGTCACCGAAAGGTCGTCCCTTCAACCCGCTCTGTAATACCGATATTGCGTTGCAATTGGTGCATGATGCACTACCGATAGGGTTATCCACCGGGCATCGGAAAAAGGAAAAAAAACATGAGATCAAAAGCTGTACCGTACAGTACCGGTACGAGAACCGGAGGACGGGTGAAACATTGCTCGACGCTGGGATACGGATTCGGGATTTGATCTGCTTGCGTTAGAGGTTGGGGGCACCGGTGCTTGAGTGCCGTACGAGTACTTAAAAAACAGTGGAAGCAGAATATCCCGGTGGGGGGTCGTGATGTTGCACTACGGTAATCAAGATCTCCCGATCTTCACAAGCATCGTCGTCGTCATCTGTCGATCCCGAAACGCTCCTCGATGAAGGGTTCTAGAGGACGATACTCTAGTATAATAGACTCTGGGCAGCACTAGCAATGCTCGAGCACAAAAGTGCCCAGGCACAATACAGCACGGTAGACCTCCAGCTACCAAAACACTGAGAACCAATCCATTCGACGCTCGCTATATTTCTCCAGCACGTATCATACGATGAATGGTGTGATGAGTTACTTCCAGCTGCAGGGTCACTCGAACGGGCCCCCCCGAAATACGATAGTCTACCCCGGGCACTCATGCCCGAGTACAGGTATTATACCTCCAACATCCCTCGCATCCTTCCCCCACCACAATCGATGAAAGCTCCATCCAGGAGTGAGTGCCCATGAATCAGCGTTATCATTCCGATCGGGGGATAAGCTTTTAGGATCCTCGGAAGTAACAACCGCCAAACACCCCAGTATGCGGTGCCGGTATTCTACACCATCTCTCTTTCCTCCAATGGGTGCTTGCGGGTAGAGCATAAATCCGTGGCCTGATGGAGCTCTGTCGTCACTGCTCACTTTTGGTGGGGGGTTGTACGAGTACACCTGCACACCTTCTTTTTTTCCAGAATGGATTACTCGTACCATACATCGATCGTCCGAGGTCTTTAGGATACATGCAGAGGATTGGTCCGTCTGCCTGCTCTGTTTGCTCCACTAACTTACGAGTATTTAAGGGGGTCGGCGGTCTGGTTGCGTTGCGGGCCTGAGGTTTTTGGGACCGCATTTTCTGAGCTTTCCTTCCACTTTTACTCGTGATCTTTTGTTTGGCCCCGGGTCCCTTTATTCGAATCCTCCCCCATCTGATTGGTTAGTCTCTATCGTGGGAAACGGTTTGCTTCATCATGGCCCCTTCAGAGAATATCTCGATTGCTATGTACCTCTTTAAGCGTCTCCATGAACTTGGAGTGCGCGGGGTTCACGGAGTTCCGGCAGGTCTTCTCCGATATATTCGCCATTTCGTCAATTGGCTAACGGGAGATACCATAGGGTGATTTCAATCTTGCCGTACTCGATCTGCTCCCTGATGCCGGTTTGTATTGGGTAGGGAATTGTAACGAACTCAATGCAGGTATAAACCCCCTTCTACAAAAGCATCCCATGAGTACGGCTCCCGAAAACTAATATTCTCCTCTCAAAATAGCTTATGCTGCCGACGGCTACGCCAGAATCAAAGGAATTTCAGCGTTGATTACAACGTTTGGTGTTGGTACGCCATAGGTCCTAACGCTCCTGCTGGTAGATCTTTATTGATAAACCATCACAGGGGAACTTTCTGCACTCGCGGGCGTGAGTATTGTTTTTTTTTTTTTTTTCAGAAAGCCAATAGACGTTCCCCCCCTTATTAACGTGCAATCGTAGATTGCAGGATCCTTCAGCGAGCATGTTCCCGTGGTTCATATCGTCGGTATCCCCAATACAATTTCGCAGAGGAATGGTAAGTGGGCTTTAGCCATTATGGGCTTGAGCAGATTGCTAACGGTTTCTCCTGCGTTTAGGTCTTTTGCTTCATCACACCCTTGGAAACGGTGACTTTACCGTTTTTCAGAATATTTCGAGGAACATCTCTGTGACTTCGACCATCTTGAATGATCCTCATAGAGCTGCTTCGGAAATAGATCGTGTGCTTTCGGGTATTTCCCCCCACTAATTCGCGTAACCCTTCGGATAGCGGCTGATAAGTTGTCGAATGACAGCTTGCTGGGTTAAGGCCAGGCCGGTATATATAGGTAAGCTCTCTTTGAATCTTCATGTTATTATGGCTCAAGTTAACACATCTCATGACAGGTCTCCCCACCGACGTTGCCTCCAGGGAAATTCCGGCAACCCACCTTGGCACCCCTCTGGACTTGAGAATCCCCGACAATGAGCCCGAGACCGAATCCGAAGTGGTCGATGAGATCGCTGGCCTGATGTACAGCTCCAAAAACACCATCATCCTCGCAGATGCCTGTGCAATCCGCCACCGTGTGCTAGACGAGCTCCATGAACTCGTGGAAAATACACAGTTCCCCACTTTCGTCTCGCCAATGGGCAAGGGTGCCGTCAACGAAGAATTGAGAGCGTATGGGGGGGTCTACGTCGGGGATGCCAGCAGAGACGAGGTCCGGCAGTACGTGGATAACGCCGAGCTCATCCTGTACGTCGGTGGTTTGCAAAGCGACTTCAACTCTGGCGGCTTCACATATAGAATCTCTAGGAAGAATACCGTCGAGTTTCACAGTGACCACATGAAAGTCCGATATTCCGAGTTTCCTGGGATCCAGATGCAGCCGGTTCTCAGGAAGTTGTTGGATAAACTTGACTATTCAAAGGTCCAGCAGACACGCTCTATCCCGGATGTTTCGAATACTATCCCTCACAGAGTCCAAGAGTCTGTTTCGCAAGAGATCAGTCATGCATGGCTTTGGCCGAGAGTTGGACAGTGGCTCAGGGAAGGTGATGTGATTATCACGGAAACGTTAGCCTTCCCAATCATGGATCATCACTAGCTCCTACTCACTCGCACTAGTGGAACATCGAATTTTGGTATCTGGGAAACCCGCTTCCCAAAGAACGTGACCGCTATTTCACAGGTCCTCTGGGGATCAATCGGGTACTCTGTTGGAGCGTTACAGGGCGCAGCACTTGCCTGCAAGGAAGAATATCCGGAAAGAAGAGTGATTCTCTTCGTCGGCGACGGCTCACTGCAACTGACTGTCCAGGAAATCAGTACTATGATCAGACATGGGCTTAAACCGATAATGTACCCCCCCGCCCCTATGCTCCCGGGAATACTATAAAGCTAACATTGGGTCCTCCTCTAGCTTCGTAATCAACAACAAAGGGTACTCTTCCTCCCCTTCCCCCACACCACTAAACCATAGCTAACAAACATAGATACACAATCGAACGCATGATCCACGGCATGAAAGCAAGTTATAACGACATCCAACCCTGGAACCACACCGACCTGCTCAACGTCTTTTGCGCAGACCCCTCAGATGCAAAGTCCTACCAGTGCAAGTCGAGGGATGCGCTCGAGAGTCTGTTCAAAGATGACAAGTTCTCTAGTGCTCCTTATATCCAGGCATGTCCCCGCCAGTGGCCGTGCTCGGCATGAGAGGATGAGGGTGCTAACGGATATCTGTAGCTGGTGGAAGTTTTCATGCCCTGGCAGGACGCTCCTAGGGCACTTATTAAGATTGGCAAGATTACGGCGAGTTTGAACGATGGAAGTGGGAGTGGGCAATAATAATAATGTATTGGAGAAGAGAAGGTGGATGAAGGCAAGAAGAGAGAAGAAAGGAAGATTTCCTACGGTATTCAAATGTTGTATCTGTGCGGTGTATGAGAGACATCAGGGACAGAACATAGCGTAGGAGGATAAACACCATACGGTTACCACTGGTAAACTTGTGCCACCCACAACCAATGAGGTGCTCGAGTACCGGTACCATACGAGTACGTGTATACCGCTGCCATGTACTCGTACCGTATTACCGTATTCTCGGTATCCCAATCCCCAATCCCCCAACCCCCCCGAAGCCCCCCTTCATACCCGTACCAGTATTGTGCCCTCCCAAGCAAAACTCCCAACGGCGATCCCCGCCAAACTCCTGCTTTCCCCCTCCCATACTTGCACCCAGAATCAGCCCATCCCCCAATCCGAATTCCAACCCCGACACTGTACCACCATGGCGTTGTAGCCACAACCCAACCCCCGGAACCTCCAGCTCATGATTGCTGATTCTCACACCGCCACAAGCTTTCCCTCCCCACCCACCCACTCCCTCTTCTTCCCAAATCTGCAGACATATGGTACAGTATGGTAGTTGGAGTAATTCCAACAAGCGGGTTAAGTTGCTGTATTATGGGTTACATACTCTGCACTAGTAGTAGCACTGTACTCGAGTACTCGAGAACAGCACCGTACTAGTACTGTACGAGTACCCGCACTATATTTCTCCGCTTCGGCTACCGGTACCGTACTAGAACTCGAATCCAAGGACTTGGGCCCGAACGCAGAGAGTGGGTCTGTGCGTTTACCGGGCGATAGGGTTGGGACGGTGATTACTATAATACTCGAGTACGAGTACAATACCGTACCATACCGGATAGTTATGGCCCTTCGGCCTTCTGCGACGCCGGTGGTATTTATGGCCTTCTCCGACGATGGCACAGTATGATATGATACAAATATGATGAGTGTGGATGGATGGGTGGAGCCGAGGGCTTGAGGCATTGAACTTGAAAGGGGGGGAGGTGGGGAGGTGAAGGTGAAGGTGAAGGTGAAAGAAAGAGAAGGAAGGAAGGGAGGAAGGGGTCGTTGGGATGGTACTCGTACTAATACCTCTACCGTATTGCACGATATCATGTCCTGTAGAGGATTATCATAATAGTTTGATTGCATTCTGCACGGATAGATGTTTTTATTCTTTATTTTTTAGAAGGTCTGCTGGTAAAGTTACTCGCGAGGAAGATTCGATGCGGTTACGGTATAGTTTTTTCTTTTCTTTTTTTCCTTCATGTCAAACCCGTCTGCTCAATTTCATCCCCATCTCATACTTCTAATGATATTAGAAATAATAATAAAAAAACAATGATATCCAGGCACTGTGAGAGTTTTTTTTTTCATCTTTATTTTTTCATTAAAGTATAAACTAAACGAAACTAAACCAAACCCAAACAGACCCGACCCGACCGACCAACAGACCAACAGACCAGGCAAGAAAATGACAAGAAACCTCCCACCCCCAGATATAACTTGGAAACAAGAGTGTACCGTAGAGTGCCAACAACTAGAAAGGAAAAAAGAAAAAAAATGTATATGTATATATAAAAAAGAATTCAATCAATAGAGATTCCATATTTTCCCACAGTATTTGCAATATAACAGAATGCTATCATGTTGTGCTGTAATGTCAAGACGATGGTGATGGCGATGGTGGGTGGGATATTCGTGAAACAAATATGAATAGACATAAGTAAAATAAAAAATATATATATATGTATAAAAAAGAACCCAAACATAACCCATATGAACATTGTCAGTTATCTCAAAATAAATACTGCCTGAAGAATCATACCGCGTCCATCTACGGCATCAAACGCTAGCGAGTACAGATGCCAGCCCGAGCCCCTCATCGTCGGAAAACAGCCCACTGTCCTCCTCGGCAAGCTCGTCGTCCCAAGAACCATCTGCGCTCAACAAGGTGTTCGAATAATCCGCATTCGCTCCGCCAATTGGCAACGCAGGCAAAACCTCGTCGTCCGCAGAATCATCCGAGTCATCATCCGAGTCGTCGCCATCGGCATCGTCCTCCTCGTCGTCCGATTCCGTCACCCCACCGAGTAGCTGACTGACAAACTGGCCGCAGCACCGAACTTCCTCCAGACTGCCCACAATTCCTCCTAGTATCAGTCTGTGCTCGGCGGCGGGGGTCCAGAGTTGTGTCAGGTCATCGACGTCCAGCTTTGCCAGCTTGGATAAGGGGGGCGGTGGCGGGTGATTGTAGTCTGAGCGGGATAGCGCGGTTATGTCGAGGTTTAAGGCAACGGAAGACCCCTTATTTCGCTGTGGAGCGGTGGTTACCCTTGCTTTAAATGCGCTCCTACGTTTGGGCAGACGTGTCCGCTCCGTGTCGAGCTTGCGGAGGAACTTGTCCAGTGCCTTGCGGCGGCGGCAATACCCCTTTATTCGGTAGATGTGCCAGACCTCTTTGATTCCACCAAGGATAAGAACCTTTGCGAAAGCTTGGTTTGGCGGCCGCTGCCGTGTCCAGCAGCCCAGAGTTCGGGGTACCGAGAGTGATGGCGAGCTCATTCTTCGCATGAACAAGTGTAAAAGCAAATGGTACATCTGGTGTACTTGCAACAATAAATTATCGGGATATTGTGATATTATATCCCCCTGAAGTCGCCTCTTGTCCGCCGGTGATAGCGGATCTAATCCCGCCGTCGATGGGTCCTCATCATCATCATCGTCATTTCCCCATAAGCGCTCCAGCCTCCGCGTTCTGTACGTTTCGAAAAAGTGAAATAACGCGAATATCAAGGGTGCCATTCCTAACCGCAGTTGATTCAAAACATATACCGTGGCCTCCTTCGACATTCTCCGAGCCTGGCGTCCCCCCATCATCTCTTTCACAATTTGGCGTGCTAATGACAGTGCCAAATGCGTCGATACCCGTTGTTTGTATGCCAGGTCAGTGAGGTATACCAGCGTGGGTGGCGCATCCGCGGGAGGAGGATATAGTTTCGTGATATGTAACGGCACCCACTGGCCGATATGATGCCTGACTATGTGGCTCTCGTTTTGCATTGTGAGCTCTCTAAACTTCTGTGATGTCCTCCGCAGCGACAGAAGGTCGAAGAAGAATAGTTTATTGACGACTTCCAACTGAAGCTCAACCGGAAGGCCGAAGAACAAATCCCCTAGTGAACGGGAGCTGAGACGCAAGGAGTCAGCAAAGGGCACGTTCCCAACAGAGCACCCGCGGTTTGCGAAAAACAAACCCTTTGGAGGCAGTGGTACCATCCCGGGTCGGGGCTACCATCCGCTGCCCAGGACGAAGAAGAGAAAGCCTTCTCCGAGCCATTCTCAGTACCTCCCCACATCTAGACTCCCGTGTAGGATGGCAAGACAAGCCGGAATGGAGTTCCATTGCAAGCCTTCGAATCCTGCATTCGTCCATCATACTCCGTATCTTGGATCTGACGAGTTTCTTCGCCCTGTCGATACTGGATTCTATCGACACTATCGACATGATGACCTGGACGAGGCTCGCTGGACTGGAATGGAAGTCGGATTGTATAGTGGGTGAGTGTCCGATTCAGCGGGAACCATGGACCGGTTTTCCGATTATTACTTTTCTCGCGGGAAGGGGAGGCGTCCGGTTACTTCTGTGACATGCAATACAGAAGGCAGTTCCTGGGGGGTGAAAGGGAAAAAAGAGGAAGAGGAGAAAGAAAAAGAAAGCAGCACTCTCAAGGGCAGCCCAGCTTTCTATACGGGAAGGGATTCCACGAAAGCTGTTAGCACTGCCAATCCCACCAAGCGGGCTTTTTCGTCGAGAGTGTGGGAGATCGTCGATAGGATGAGGGTGAGGACGCCAACAGACAAGGTTAGAGGGGATGGTGAATGTGAAAAAGAAAAGAAGGTTCGGATTCGAGAGACGAAAAGCGGACGGGACCCCTCGAAAAGGTAAAGGCACAAAATAAGGACCGTGAGGCGGACCTGGCACTTTTTTTTGGGCGGGCAGTTTAAACGAGAGCTTGAATCCAAGACAGTCTCGCAGATCCGTTCACAAGATCGACGGAAATTGGCAAATTAGAAGCACCAGATCTGCCCTCCTGCGGTCCGAGTTTTTTTTTTTTTCTGGAGGGATGTTTATTTTGAATTCGAGCCTCTCGTCTCCTCTCCTCTCCTCTCCTGCAAACTCTGCTTGTGGGGGGGGAGGGGGGTGTGTCGCGGTTATCGGGTGGTCGTTGGGCGGAGATTTTGTTGGAGAGAGTTCGAGTTTGGGGAGGAGTGGAGGTGCGGGAGAAGTGGAACTTATGGAACCGGGGGGGGGGATGATGATGATAGTTTTGTGGGTGTGGGCCAGGAGTTAGGGATGGACCAGGGAGCCACGCGAGGTTTTATGGACACAGCGATACATTCTGTTTATGTGTGGCATGCACTCTCCAATCCAGTCCCAAGCTGGATGGCTTCAATGACGATGGTGCGGTGCAGTGGGCTCTGGAGGCAGTGAAGAGTAGACTATGTATGGTATGTATGCCCACCTCTGAGCAAGGAGAGTTAGACTAGGCGCCCTCTGCCTTCTCAAGATGCCATGACATTCTGTACCACTGTCGCGACCGAGCTCATACCTGTGGTGCCTTGCCATGGGCGGATGAGCAAAGATCAATAGAAACATATCATATACCCCGCCCCCTCTCTCTCGCTCTCAGGCTCAGCTTCTGAAGAGAGAAGGTGAACCCTTGATGCCGGGCACGAGTACCGTACATTCCATGCATACGAGCACCGCAGCTGGCCTTCCACGGATGGGTGCGGTACAGTTTTACGAGTAATATGTGTGGTGGGAAATATGAGGGTGGTAACATGATATGGCGATGTCTGCACAGTGCTCGTAGTCTCGTACTTGTATCATACTGTGCGAGTACAAGTACTGTGCCATACCTTGGGAAAAGAAAACCCTCCAAGAGAGCCGTCTTCACTCCCTCTCTTCCCTTGCCAGCTGCCTCACCTCGCCTTGTCCTCATGCGCCGTGCTTTTTTGTCATGCTGTTCAATCGGCACTCATTGGGGATTCTGAACGGGTTTACGGAGCGATGTCTTGCTGCATGATAATGCTATGATACCGGTTTCCCTCCCGTCTTTTTTTTTGTTTTGGCTGGCCTGCCTTCCGATTCCAATCCCCCGGGTTTGTGCTCCCCCGTGTCGTACCGTATGATACTCGATTGCTAATCGTCATACAGTGCTCCAGCATGTACCCTATTGCACTGTACGAGCACTCGTACAGCACGCTACGGTACTCGAGTACCGGTAGGGCACAGTGTTCTGGGCATAATCTACAATACTGCTGCAGAATTGCGTTCCCCGGAGGGTTATAGGAGGAGAAACGGGGAGCGGCGTATCATACAAGGGAGAAAGAAGCCATCACCATTATCATCTCCATCATCATCACCATCATCTCCACTTCCATCTCCATCTCCATCTCCATCTCCATCTCCATCCTCATCATCGCCATCTCCATCATCATCGCCAAGCGGATCCTGCGAGCCCCTTAGGAATACCGGTGGGGACACTAGGAAGGAGGAGACTGGTGGGCGCTGCAGCTGAAAAAGTCTCATTGCAAGCACTCGCCTATCCTATCGTAGTGCTATCGTGGGCAAATCGCTATAATACTACTGCTGCAATACAAGTACCATAGCTGGCAATACCGGTAGTCTACCGTATGGCATCCCTCCAGACTCGAACAAGGTATCATATCCCCCATCCCATCCCTTCCCATCCCTTCCCATCCAATCGCCTCTTTCCAAATTCACTCTTGACCCCTCCCCCCTTCCAACCTTATCGACAGGGCTGCCATCATATTTTCTTGGAGACGCACGCCATGCTAAATCCAATGCAACTCAAATCACGAGAGCAAGTAGCCATCCAATCAATCCTTTAAACAGCAAACAGAGGGAGAGAAAAGCGTTATGCCCGAGTAGAGAGCAAAACCCTACCGTACCCTTTCTCCCTCTTTTTCCTTGCCTGTTTCCTTGGCGCGAAAAAAAGAGGGGGAATCGGCAAACAGGACCCTTCAGTTCGGATAATCCCCCCCCCCCGAGATCTATTTTTTTTTTTTCTCTCTCTTTACCGGTATTCGGTTGGGAACTTGTTTCTCACCTTCCCTTGCTTCTTTCGTTTGTCTCGCTTTCCCTTTGTCACAAGTTATTTCTTCTTCCCTCCCCTCGCTTCCCTCCCTCAATCCCTTAGTTATCCATAACCTAATCCCTGGAACCAGGGCCAAAGAGAGATAACCTACAGCATGGGTATGATACTGTACAAGTACCGTATTAGCTCTCGCGATAGTATCATACCCACCGAGAGGAGAACCGTTGCCGCGATGAAAATTTGACTTCCCGAAGACACGGTTCCAATTTTCCAGAAGGAGTAGCACTGGAATATTTATCCCAAAAAAATTACATAAAAATTTTTGATTCTAAGGAGTCGTTCACAGCTCATAAACTTAGTCTACCCCCCCCCCCCGCCTCCTGGGTTGGAGGCCGAAGCCTTTTGCCGCGGGACTCTGTTGGCCTTCATTTTCGGTCGATCCTGATCACGTTTTCGTGTTGTGTGCGGCACTCTCCGTGGATAGACAAAGTTGCAGAAACGAATGCGAGGAAAAGCCTCTACCGGTGCTAGCCAATTCGCGGATTACGGCCTGGATTGCCCCTAAAGTCCGTAAATTTCTTGCGTGGCAACCGGCATAACGACATCGACAGCAGTGTTGCCGGTGTTGCCGTGCACTAAGACTTTGGTAACTTTAGGGACAATCCAGATGATGCTTTGCGAATTGGCCAGTCCTCGTACCGGTTCAGTATCTTCGCTCTTGCCCGAGAAAGTCCTCTGCTCTCGGTTCGAAATACCGGTAGACCTTGGCAAACGGTAACCCTAATTTTTCCCCGAAACCAACAACTGCAAGCTTCCAGGAGTATGATTCACGAAAACTGCACCTTCAGTTGGCTTTGGCTGTCACACCTAGAATCCGATGGTTTCAAAAAAGGACGATCGGATTCTAGGTGTGACAGCCAATCGATCATGCTAGAAAGTAGTGGAGCAGCTTACTGCTATTCGGAGAAATTCCCCTAAGAAGGATGAATCCGGTCGTATCAAGTTATTCCGTCCCTGCGATCGGGTGTCCTTCCCGAAGAGATAAATGACAAAGTGTCCGGGGGCCAGGCAAAGTGACAAATGACAGAATCGAAACACTAATCCTTTTCAGAAACGGACTGTGATCGACACTTGAACTCGAGTACTCGTACGAGTACGTTCAATATCTAATCCGGCCTCCGTTCTGTGAGAGTATGATCTCCGAGACCTTCAGAACCCATCGAAATCCACAGGTTAAATGCAAACATACGGTCGTACAGTTACAAGAATTCGGTCAAGATTTGTCTCCCCACCATCAAGTTGTTACCCTTTTTGGGGCGACAATGAGGTCCGACACATACAGGGATGAAGTGCCTGTCAATGTCAGTCACGTCTTGGTGCAGTCCGACGGCCCTTTACCCGAACTAAAAAGGTTATAATTTATTGGTACTAGATGTTGTCGGTTTCGAAAGGTTGTCGGTGCTGGAGTTTCTCAAAGGAGTTTTTTTCTTCCTTTCTTTCCGTACCTCGAACGCGGTTTCCCGCAGCCCACTTTCCCGCCCTTAGCTATGAACTTTAGACCTTTTCGGGGTCGATAAATAAAAAGCGTCCTCACAAGCTTCTACCGCATTTTGCCTTAAGTTCTAACATCATCTCCGTGATCCCAATACGGCAAACAGAAACATTGATATCACCGGGTTGGCATATCTCCGGCATCTCCGCTTTCCAGTGCCACTCTATCGGGTTCGGAGCCCGACGCGCGCCGGGATTGTTTTGATAATCATCCGGGCTCACTCGGTTTAGGCCTTGTTGCTTTTGTTGGGGGTTTGGACCGGGGGTAAGAGCACAAGTTAACTTATGGCCTGTACTCGTACTCAATCCGGCGACTTGAGTAAGCTCAATAATACCGTGGACAGGAAAACATTCACCGAAAATTGCACGTGACTAAGTTGAGGCTATTTAGCGTGAACCCGGAAATATTCACATGCCGATGGAATGAAGGAAGAGATACACGCTATCCGCACTTGATAAGCGGTACTTGTATTCGCGGAGGAGTGGATCCGGGTGGGGCTTCGTCAGCACGTCGTACCGTGCGGGTACATACCGGTATTCTGTGGGGAAAGAAAGAAAGAATGATGGAGATTTTCGCGGTACGGTGCAATGTTTCCCTGCGAAGCGAGTTCCCGGCGTGGCAAGGGCCAACCGTTTACCCGTATTGGCTCGCCTTTCACGGGGTGTGTTGTTTTAGACTGTACGAGTACAAGTGATTCAATGCAGTTTGTGGGTTAGTGCTCGCTATGCTGGGCGATTGCTATGTGGGGAAACGTTGTACGGTACCGTACCGGTATCGCTAGGTTGAGAAATTGTTATCGATGGGGTTGGTTTCATCTGGGTGGGTTGGCCACCGGTAGTTGATTTTTGGTTGAAAGGCAGGGGAAGTTTGCCACTGCAGGTACGGTACTCGACAGTACTCGTACCGTGTGGATGTCGCGAGGGTGTTACAGATTGATTGCCGTGCCGCATTTTGCCCCCCGACACTTTTTGGATTTTGATTTTGGACAGCTTTTTGAGCATGGTAGCCCCATGCGAAGTGGGCGATATGGATCGTTGCCGTTAACTTATTGTTTGGATTTAGCAACGGTCCAGATTGAAGGTTGTGGGGTACAGTACAATACTCGTACCTCTCGACGTTACAAGTATGGACTCGGGGTGGTCCTTTCCAATGCCGGTATGACTTGTTGCAGATGAGGCGCGCTAGGCGTCCTTGCATCAGGTCTCCCCCTCTTTGGATGTCTTTTGTGGGGGAGCGATGTTGCATCGGGCCGTTGCCAATGATACAGTACCAAAGATAGCGTGAGCTCCTCTATCCGTACTCGTAGCTTCGGTCTGACTCCGATGTGGTACGGGGGTAGACATCCTTCTTGAATTACGGGCTATGATGGAGTTTGGGGCCAAACATCGCCGGTGCTTGATTCTCAGCGATATCTTCTCAAGCCGGGAGAACCCAATCGCACTCTTGACATCACCGGGAATATGCTATGATATAAAAAAATACGGCCCCCGCCCCGCGTGTGGGTTGCCAAGCATACAGCCTTTCTCTTCTCATACACGGAAAAAGGACGTCCTCCAACATGATTTCTATTTTCCTCCGCGCTCTCTTAACGGCGTGCCCACTCCTTACCTTGTCCGCGCCAGTTTACCAGATCCCACTAGGACAGAGCTCGGTTGGTGAAATTTCGAACGAGCTCTTCGAGCAGCTAGAGGGCCTTGCCGAGATTGTCCAACTGTACTCAGATGATTCTGCTAGATTGCGCCGGGATGCCCTGTTGAAGAACTTGGATGTGGTTCATCAATGGGATGATGTGGATATCCGGGGGTATGTAGCAGTCGACAATAGGTGTGGGGGTATCTATCTTGTGTTTGATGGAGAGTACGGGCATGCCGACGCTCTTGTTGACCTGGCGAATCCTCTACCGTTTGAGGCCGCTGGTGTGTATGGGAGCGGGGGATTGGTTCATGATAGGATTCAAAAGGGGTGGGAGGCTGTTGGAGGAGCCGCTCTTGATAGAGCCAGCCGGTTGCGGAGCAATTATGGGCAGCGTAAGTGGTTTCTACAAGAATTTTATGGGCACCGCTTATATAGCTTGGGCGAGAGCAGATGGGATGAATATCGTTGGCCGTGGGGTTGGGGGCTCAGTTGCTTCTTTAGCAGCGCTGAACTTTGCTATGCAAGGATGGGAGCCAAGGTTGACGACATTTGGGCAGCCAAGATTTGGGGACGCTGAGTTCATGAAGTTCTTTGATGAAGTATCATACATTTGCCTCACCTCCCCTCACCCTTTCTAGCGAGTGATAAGGGATGCAGAGGTGTTAACTTGAACGCAGCACGTGTCTCCAGAAGGATACCGTCGGGTGACGCATATTACAGATCCGGTTCCCATGCTCGAATTTCCGGAGCTAGATCTAATTCATACAAATGTCCTCTCCCCACGTCTTAATTCTCTATCTTCTGACTAATGGCTCACCAGGAAGAGTATTTTATTCACAAGCCCTTCCCACCATACCTCCCATCCGACATCCGGGTCTGCGCACTCGAAAGCGAAGACCCGATATGTTCTGCCCGCGCGCGCACCTCCCCTTTTGACCTCCCGTTCACCCAAAGTCCATATCTAGCCACTAAACCCGCCGCCCCAATAGATATGGATACATTCCTTGACTTGCCCTCCCAATTCGCCGAACTGGACATTGAATTCTTCCCTCTTGCACAAGACCTCGACTTTGGCTTCTCTCTAGACCTCAAGCCATTCCAGGCCGCTCCCCCCTCATCTTCGCTCCTATCCCTCCTAAACCCTTCACCACCAAACCCCAACCTCAACAGGCGCAGCATAGACAGGGCCCTGGAATACTTCCACCTCCCGAAGCACCAGCTCGAGGCTTCCCTCGCTGATGCCGAGGCGGTCACAGCGTACGAAGCTTCTCTTGCTCAAGACCCGAATGATCCAAATCATGTGTCACACGACTGCGAAAACCTTGAAAACGGGGAGGATCTAGTCTCCCAAGCGTCATCAATCATAATCTACAACGGCAGGCCCGTGGAAGTGGATGGTAGACCAGCGCTCTCGCCCCGCGACCTGTTAAGCGGTAAAGGCCGCATCGGCCGTTGCAGGAGGGATGGCCCAGGAGTGGGCCTCACCCTGGAGAACACTACCCCAGCGCACACCGCCTCTGAGCCGAGAGTGGAGGAAGAAATGGTTGACGTGGGCGGGAACTCGATTGAAGGCGAAGCGGTAAATGTGCAGAAGGGACAAAACTTCCGGGTCTACAACGACATCCCTGTGCGCAAAGATGTGGATGCTCGCTGCACTGGCGGTGCCGGTGGGGGGGTTGAGGGGCCCCCTTTTGTGAAGGTTGAAGGTGAGAAAGTGGAGGTGGTGGGGGCGCAGGACGAGGCGAAGGGATTGCCGGAGAGGAGGCTCACATATGGGTGGGGAAAGTGGGAACCGTATATGCATTATCTTGAAGGGCTTGATGGTCCCGCGATCATGAGCGTTGCATATGAGGATGATTTGGATAGTGGGATTTGGGCAGGGGAGGCCCCAGATGGGATTACCAAGGACAGATTCTGGGGGGATATGGGGATATGATGCTGGGTTTGTGGAGGAGGTTGTGAGGTTATGTGGAGGGCGGGGGGGTATAACAGGTCGGGACGGGGAGGCTGGCTAAAGCCCTAGATGCAGTTCTGTGAGTCCCTCCGTTTGTTCCCTTGCTGCGTAATGTATTATACTACTATCCATGGGGTGGAGCGGATGGGGAGGCGAGCAGCGAAATCATTAGATGTCACTCGGTAACTTGTATGTATGGTTGTATCATACTTGTGAAATATTTTACGCTTGTAAATATGATGCGGTTTGGAATTTATATATCATATTTGGAATTGGCATATCACGGATCACACAAAATGGGTCTGTGGGTATATTGCAATTCCGGCGGTCATGACCCATCCCTCCCCCGCCTCTATTTAGGACCTCACGCTGGAGCTGAAATGGGGCCATAGTATCAACGCTCGAAGAAGAGGTGGATACTCTTGTTGGGGGGGGGGGGGGATTACGCGTGTCTTGTACTGCCTTCTCCACCTCCGCCCTGCCTTCATGTATCTGTGGCTTTGTGATCAATTTATTTATTTATTTCGATAGTTATGATAATGTTATTACACTTTTAGCCTTACGAATTGCCCGCTCCGCAACGATCACGACCGATCTACACACTTGGACAACTTCGGACTGGTAGTGTGATGGGATGGAAAGCTGGTGCTTGTATCGTCATGTATCAATTACCGGTATGTGGATCGGATGTTTACGAAAAGGAAGGGAGAGGGAAGGGAGGAGGGGTTAAAAATAAGAAAAAATAAAAAATGAGTATACTGTAAGAAGTCCTCTTTAATTTTTGATGTACCTGTGATAACTTACCGATCAATTGCAGAATGATGATATCATGCATTCTTCCTCTTCTGTGATCACTTTCGGTGGATTGGGTGAGGATGAATGAATCTCGGTTATCATATGATATTATACTAATGACCAGAAAGAAAGATAATAATAATCATGATATCAGCCCTTCCCCGGAAACTCCTCTCATAAATACGATACCGATTCTGGACTATCGAGATATCATATAGCTTTGCCTTCCTTGACCTTTTCTTCCTTGCCCATGCCCCTGACTAACTAACTAACTAACTGGCTAACTGACAAAAACCTCGTCCAGAACTAACCTAGCAACATTCATCCCCATAAGACTGCTGGTCTCCATGGTGCTGATGAAACTCTCCATGCCAGCCGTGTAGTACACCCCCTCCGCGAGTTTGATGTCTTCGAATGTGGCACGCGGGTAGAGGTAAGGGTAGGCGTTCCACTATTAAATTATTGTTATTATCCGTCGTATTAGCTTCTCCCCCCCCCCCGCCTCGCCTAATGGGAGGAAAGTGTGTATACCAAATGTCTGACAACCCAGGTCACATCAGCGGCAGCTTCATCCTCCACGCCGAGCATTTTACGGATTCTGTCCGGGCCGAATGGCTCCGGGGAGAAGATTTTGTATAGGAATTCCTCGCCGTGCTCCTCCGTCGTGATTTGTTGCAGGGTGGAGATGCTGAAGAAGCCCACCTTGCCGACGGCCCTGGCGCCCTCTCCGCGTGTGAATATCTTGCTCGATTGCTCGGTCACGTTCAGGGTTGTCAGCACTGTTTCTGGGACTGTGGAGGTTGGGTCTAGGTTAAAGTACTTGGGATCGAGGGGATGGCACGAGGTGAAGAGCGTGACGTGCAGGGGGACGTAGGGGATTTCGTCGGGGGTCTTGTGGAGGGTGGTGGGTGGGTGGGTGAGGTCTAGGTATTGGTATGGGGAGGCGATTATTACGACGTCAAAATCTTGGTTCACGACTACTTGTGGGTTTCCATGCGTTTTGGAGGTTATGGTCCAGATTTTTTTGTCGTCTTTGGTGGTGGCTTTTTCTGTGATGCCTGTAACGGAGGTGTTCAGGTGTACGAGCCCACCACTACTCTTCACCATCCCTTCAAATATCTGCTAGTTCCCACCTTCTACGCTGACGGCTCCTTCCGCCGCCATGCAGACCATGGTCTCGAGGCCGTGTATCAACCCCAGGTTCTGGCCGTAATTCACTCTAGTAGCGCTCTGCATCAACTCCGTCACAAACTTCCCGTTTCCAACGCCATTCGCCATGAGGAACTGCTCTCCTGTCATCCCCGTGGCTTCCAGCAAGCCCACACTCCCTGCTGCCTCACCCAGCGAAGAAAACGGGAATAAGGGTTCCCGGTACATTTTGAGAAATTTCCTCGCCGTCTCATCCGTTAGGCGGTTTGCCCTTAAGGGCGCGGAGGGGCCGTAGTGGTAGAGCAATCTCGCCAGCGACCACCACTTGCCCATTTCCCCTTCAGCGTATGGCTGCACAAAGACCATCTCCTCGCCGTTGAATACGCCCACCGAATCCCGGACCGTTTTGGGCCGAGCGCTGGAGATGGAGGAGACGGCCAGATCGAATTCCTTCGCGGCATTCACAAGATTCTCATTCATGGGGACGAATGTCGAGGCCCCGAGTTCTATCGGATAACTAGGGTTTCCATGGGCACTCACGGTTGTGCTACGACCGCCGATGTAGGAATTTCGCTCGTAGATTGTTATATTTATGCGGGATATATTGGCTGTGTTTGCATGGAAGTGGCGGAGGAAGTGGGCTGCTGAGGAACCTGCTGAACCCGCACCTGATTTTTTTTCCCCTCCCGGATCTCAATTAGCTTGGAACTGCAATTGAGGGTGGAAGGGGGAGGAAAATAAAATAATATAAGCACCGATGATTGCTACACGCTTCGCTTCCTGCACCAGCGTTCCGTCATTCTCGTGGGTATTATGGTGGACCTGAAGAGGTTGTTGGCCCTCGTGATTCTGGTGGTGGGTGAAACTGTCGTGGTGTGCTGATAGGGGCAGCGTCATTGATAGAGCTGCAAGAGCGAGGAGGATGCTCTTTGTAATAGCCATGGGGGTTTTTTTTATCGTCCAAGTAGCTTTGCCGTCTGGTAGAGGGGGAAGAGAGGTCGAAAACCACCACGATATACCGTGCCTCGCCGCACTCGTCAAGCAGAGAAAGAAGGCGGGGGGGGGGGGGAGGATTATCAGGAAAGTGAGGACAAAGGAGAGAGATGAAAGTAGGGGGACTGAAATATTAACCTGCGGGATATACAGTACCGATACTACTATATACGAGTACAGTACTATGGTAACGGTTACGGTACTCGTACGGCATCCACCTACGCACGGCTGGAAATCCAGTGGGCAGTGGTAGGATCCAAACAAGCTTGCTAGCTCTAACCGGATAACCTGGCTTGACATTCATCCCTAATTGCTCGGGTACAGTACTAAAGTCGCCGGATTGGTGTTGCTCCAAATTTGGTGGGGACCTATGATACCAAAAAAGGCGACTTCACACCCCCCCCCCCCGCCGACCTGAGTACCTTTTCCGCACGTATACGGTAAGCATGGTAAACCCCATAGTACGAATAACTCCTACTAAGTAGGCTACCGTACAATAGCCTACTTACCGGTACTGTATCTATTATACTGTATCGTACTTCTCTAGCCTTCCTGTAGAAATTGTTCGTGGAAGCTCATGCCCCGTGGCTCCCCACCTCCTTCTGTACGGTACTCAAGCATGTACTCGAGTATCATACCGGTATCATACCGGTCCTCCTCCAGATAAGAATGAGCAAGAAAAAAAAAATGTTTCGAGCATAGCGTTTTTAGAATTGGATGGAATGGTATAGGGATCGTCACCTTGGCTAGACTATGATGTAAGGACAGGTGATAAGGGGGGGGGGTGGAGAGAGGGAGGGAAGTGGGGCTGGTGTTATTATGAGAACCGTAGGCTTTGCGTGATACCGGAAAGTAGTCGTACAGTGCCACCGGCACAAGTACGAGTACTACAGCGCCATGAGGGTCGCTTGTTCACCCTTCTTTATCTCGTTCATGATAGCGCTGCCGGTATCATAGTCTACGGATAGTAGCGTAAACCCACTTCCCTCACCTTCCTGGGTAATATCGTCTTGATCACTGGTTTTTTTATTATTATCCATCTCTCTCTCATCTCATTGGAGCGTCTACCTGCCTACCGTACGGTGCTCGTACTGGTAATTTGGCAAGAAGCATTGAGCATGAGTGGGTGTCAGGAAGACGGACGTTGAAATTACCTCCCCTGGTAACTTAAGGGTGGTTTGTTATTTTCTTTTTTTCTTTCTTTTTCTTGTTGGTTGCTTGTCTAAGCAGTGGATTCACCCAGTTTTACCCCCCCCTGGCAATCCCATGAAAACTTGAGATATTTTTATTTTCTCTCCATTAATGTGAAGGGAATCACCTACCGGTACTCTATCATCCAATACCCTAGAGCACCAATTATCCCCGGAGTGGCTGTTGAAAAGCCTTCAAGGGTTGAAGCCGATCAATATTCTCTTGGCAAGGCACGTACTCCATGATGAATGTCCCCCCTGCCCCGGCTAGGGATGTCGCTCACCATAGCTTGACTGTACGAGTAGCTGGGTGGGGAAACACAGAGATGGCCGTTTGGTATATATTAGCTTGTGGTGAAGGTTGGCCATTGCGGGTTGATCAGCCATTTTCTTTGTTCAAAGCTTCTGAATTACGAGTACTCGTACAAGCCCCGGGGATCGTTACCCGAAAGAGGGTGTTTGGATAGATAATAAGTTAGCGATTATGATCTCCTTTGACTTGGACTCTCATTGGTTGTTGGCTGTAATAGAGCTGCAAGTCCTAGGCAAATGAGTACAGTACTCGAGTAAAAGAACCGGTACCCGAAGACGGGGATCAGAGATTGGTATGGCAAACTGGGCGTGTCTGGGCGCGCATACAGAATGGGCCCCCAATTTTTGGGCACTTTTTGCCTGGGACTTGTACTTCGTACAGTACTCGAGTACTGGTACCAAGGGCATGTCTTGCGAGACCACTTCCTTTTTTGGTGGATCGAAGGATTCCAACTTGTGCGTGATTTAACGTCCGAGCCAAAATGCTCTATTGTGGGGTAATTTTCTATCCCATCGGGATTCGGGGGCCCACATACCGTACAGGATAGATGGATGTATGCCGCGCGCATCCTCGCCAAGAAGTCACACTTTTCTCTCTCACACCCATCCAAACACACTCGAATAATCCCAATTCTCAAAAACAAAGTCGTAGATGCTATCTGGTTTTCGAGAAAATAATTGTTATTTATTTTGATTTAAAGAGAAGTGAGGTAGGTGCCCTAGCGTTGAGCCAATGCATCTCATGGCAGTGCGAATCTGCCCCATCCTTTGAATCTATGTGGTGTTGAAGACACTTTTTTTTTATACCCGATAGTTCCATCCATCAATTCACACTAATGAGGAAAAAAGAAAAAAAAAAAGAAAAAAAGAGTATCGATATAAAGCACAAAAACACCCAACAAAGGAAATGCAGCCATGAAGAAACAAATAACCCTTTAAGAAGCCGGTCCGATAGGGAGGGGGAAGGTAGAAGCCCATTCGGAAATCTCGTTCTTGAGTGCCTGCAACTCGGATACCTTTCCGCTCAGGACATGGGCTCTGAAGTCCTTCTGCTTGTTGGCCTCCTTTGGCAACTCGCTTTGGATCCTCTTGGCCAGCTTGATCAAGTAATCAAAGTAACCAGCGACTCTCTTGAACTCCTCAGCGCCGAAACCTCTGGTGGTCATGGCCGGGGTGCCGATACGGATGCCATTGGGTGACAGGGCGGACTTGTCACCGGGAGTAGCATTCTTGTTGCAAGCAATGTTCGCGGCTTCCAAGATAGCCTCGAGACGGGCACCATCGAGGGCCTGGGCACGAAGGTCAAGAAGAACCATGTGACAATCGGTCCCACCAGATACAAGGTTATAACCCATGCGCCTGAACTCCTCCTCGAGAACCTTAGCGTTGGAAACAACTTGCTCCTGGTAGTGAACGTATTCTGGGGAGAAGGTCTGCTTGAGGGCGACAGCGAGGGCGGTGATGGTGTGATTGTGAGGTCCACCCTGATGACCGGGGAAAACGCTATACCGCCTTGTAAGCATGGGAATTTGTCAATGAAGGGGCGGTTGAACTCACCTGAAGTTGATTGGCCCCTCAAGATCGTACATGATCTCCTTGCCCTTCTCGACCTTTCTAACACCCTTGCGGAAAAAGATCATGGCACCTCTGGGCCCGCGAAGGGACTTGTGAGTGGTGGTGGTAACGATGTCGGCATGCTCGAACGGACTAGGGATGACCTGGGCGGCGATCAATCCAGAGATATGAGCCATGTCAACAACCAAGTAGGCACCGACAGAGTCAGCGATCTGCCGCATGCGACCGTAGTCAATGTTACGACAGTAAGCTGACGTACCAGCAACCAGGGTTTTGGGCCGGTAAAGAAGGGCCGTCTTCTGAAGCATATCGTAGTCAATAATTCCGGTCTCGGTATCGACACGGTACGGCATGGTCTCGAAATAAGTTGAAACAGCAGAAATCCTGTTCAATACGCATTAGAATTCGTATCACGGGCTTGCGTGGGGTGATTAAAACGCACTTCCTCTTGTCGGTTTGGTATCCATGGCTCAAGTGCCCACCATGAGGCAAGTCCAATCCCATAAGCCTCTCATGGGGCTTCATGATAGCCTGGTAAACCTGCAGGTTGGCAGGAGATCCGGACAAGCACTGGACATTGACTCCCCACTTCTCGGGGTCGACGTGGAATGCCTGTAGAGCACGCTTCTGGCAAAGCAGCTCAATGGAATCAATATGCTCATTCCCTCCATAGTACCGGGCTCCCGGGTACCCCTCAGAGTATTTGTTGGACATGGGTGATCCTAGAGCATCATAAACCGCACGGGAAGTAACGTTCTCGGAGGCAATGAGAAGAATCGATTCACGTTGACGCTTGATTTCCAGGTCCTATCCCAAAAAAACCAGAATAATTGGGATCAATCAAGGCAAACTAGGGATGACGGGATTCCTTACCATAATGTTTTGGACTTCCGGGTCGCTCTCACGGAGCGGGACCTCGATGAGCTATCGCCAGGGAAGTGAGTCGAGAAAAGTCTGTTGGTATCGGAGGGAAACAAACCTCCTTGTGAGCCTGGGAAAGTGCGTAAGAAGTCATGATTGTCTGGTGGAGATTGGGTGGGTTCTGCTATGATGGTTGCAAAAACAATTGAAGAGAGAGAGAGAGAGAGAGAGAGAGATGGAGGAAGGG